TGAAAGGAAAAATGCTGACTCTTCTTTTTAATCCTTAGATAGTTTACTGACAGACAAAAGGTTACAGGTTAAGTTGGGGACGTGAAGAACAGTATTGAGATTAATTTTCTCAGTTAGTTTAATAAATCCTTTTCCTGCAATAGGTGAAAAACTATCATCGGCTATTCTGATTTTGTCATGACCAGGACAAGGGAAATAGGTACTAAATAAATGGGAAGAGCTAGTCATGTGATCGGAGGCACCGGAATCTATGATCCACGGAGTGAAGTTTAGGCAAGAGAAGGCTTTAGGATTTCTACCTGTTTGTGCCAACAAAACACTAGGAGTACCGGATGAGTAGTTGGATTTTATCAGCTTTAAGAGTTGATTAATCTGCTCTTTGTTGAAGGGACTTGAATCGGCTTCATTAGCTGTAGGAAAGCCACGATTCTTCTCTTCCAAGTGACGTCATGCGCAGTTGATAGGTTTGCCATGGATCTTCCAACACGTTTCGCGTGTATGGCGAGGCTTGTTGCAAAAATCACACCAGACCCGTGGCTTATCATCAAACCTGCGCTGGTAATTTGCAGCCTTGTTGGCCGCAGCATCGCTAATTAAAGCAGAAATTTCAATTGATTCACCAGTACCTTTTTTCTTAAGCATGACGCTCCTTCGGCTCTCTTCCCTTCTGACTTCGGCAAATACTTCGCCAATGGATGGGAGAGGAGGTCTGCCAATAATTCTTCCTCGCACTTCATCGAACTCAATGTTGAGGCCGGCAAGAAACTTGTAAATACGGCTGTCTTCCACAGTTTTCTTGTGGTGGTTGCAGTCGTCAACCGATTTCCATTCGTATGTGTTGAAGATGTCAAGATCCTGCCACAACCTTTTCAACGAATTGAAATATTTGGTGACGGAATCATCTCCTTGACGAATCTCTCCCAACTTCAAAGTTAATTCGAAAACTTGAGATTGATTTCCTAGGTCAGAATATATCTGACTAACATTATCCCACAATTCTTGTGCAGTAGTATAGCACATGTAATTAGAGCTTATATCCTCCTCCGTGGAATTGACCAACCATGTCATAACCATGGAGTTTTCAGCGTCCCAACTGTCGAATAGCGGATCATTAACAGCAGGAGCCTTCTTGTCACCAGTGATGTAACCGATCTTTCCTTGCCCACGGATATACATCCGGACAGATTGTGACCAGCGGAGAAAATTATCACCAATTAGGCGGATGGTGGTGATTTGGACAGAGTGAGAGTTGGACGTTTTCACCGGAATAGCAGCGGCAGGGGTTGAAGTGGTTTCGGACGTGACTTCCGACATGGCTATGACGGTTTTAGGGCTGCTGCGTTTTTTGTTGCTCCGATACCAACTTAGAAAATATGAGGAAGAAGGAATATATTTCTGTTATATTCAAAACTTCTTATTTTACAAGACCAAATGACACTCCTTATATAGGAGATATTACAAACATCATTATAACCCATTATATGTCACTTACATATTATATATTACCACTCTCTACCACTATCATATTATATACATGCCACTATCTACCACCAACACCACTATCATATTCTATACATGTCACTATCTACCACCAACACCACTATCATATTATATGCATTAACACAAATTTCCAGCACATACCTGCTGTGAGCATCTGCACCAATGCCTGAGATAAAGTTTTCTAAGTTCGAAAAGTCCACACAAAACCCTTTTATGATGAATAGTCAAGATATACCAATTGTTCCTTTTAATATTTTTTGACAAATTTCACTTTACTCCCTTGTAGTTTAGCTCATATGCAGATAATCTCATTTTTATCTGGAAATAATCACATAATCATATGTGGTTTGTCAACTAAACCGTACCGTTACATTTTCCATCCAAAATAATTGGAGGTGCAACACACACACGATTATTGAGATTTGCTGTGAATAAAATAAATTTTTAAAACAAAATTACTTTCATAATTGTTTAAAACTACAAATATGCCATTTTCTTTTTCCTTTTTTTCCAACCAACACTTAAAAAACGAAATATCCTGCAAAAGAAAAATAAAATAAAATAAAAAAAAACTTCATCCCTCCCTTCCAACACTTCACCATCAAAGTTCTTTTCTGAGGATTTGTCAACAGTCCTTGGGGATTTTAACTCCAAGTAAGAACCCGAATCATCATCTCTCCAAGCCCCCCCACCCCAATAACCTCATCCCTCCCTTCCAACACTTCATCAGCAAAGTTCTTTTCTTGAGGATTTGTGAACAGTCCTTGGGGATTTTAACTCCAAGTCTGCAAAGCAGCAATCCCTACGTCTTATCTGGGAAGCTTGTCTAAGATTGCACAAGATTTATTCACTTGTGTTATATTCAAACTTAAAAATCCATTTCAAGGGATAAAAACTTCTAATTGAGATGTCTAATTCACAAGCTGTTCCAGCCAAAAAGATATAAAATAAGAACAAGAATGAAGTTTCTTATTGCAAAATCTTATATCTGTATATACACCCAAATCCTCTACCTATATGTGTATTCTAACCAAAATTTTAACCTCTTGGCTGTTGATTCAATTGCATGTATGTAGAATCGTAATTTACTATGTGTTGATTCAACTGTAGCCCCCTCATTATTCAATTTGCAAGCTTTTGATTCACTTGCGGTGAGTTCCAGCAAGAATGTTCCACAACAACCCTTCTTTGAATCCATTCTCCAAATCCAACAAGCATGCTCCACGGTAGCACCATCTGTGGAGTGATGTTTTGCACCTCTGAATCGTGTGCAGAAGGCATTGGGTGGGGTAATGGGGATTGAAGGGAAAAAAGACAAGACAGTCCTTCCACTAGTGTCATCTTCTACAACATCTCTTTGTACTGCTGTCCTTTTGGGAAGCAACAAGTGCAACAAACTACTAAAGGCCTCACAACCACGCAAGGAAGGAAGAAGGGTGAGAATATGGCGGTGTTTGGGAACAAATTTTTTGGTTTTTTTTTTATTTTTTTCCACTGAAAGACAAATTTGTTACAAAACCAAAAAAAACAAATCCAAACAAAATATCACATCAAACCCCATAATCATTTCACTATTTCTCTCACAAACATCACATCCAACCACAAAAAAATCTAACTATCTTTCCAAACACAAGAAAAAATTTCTCCAATAATATCTTACAACTAAAAAAACTTATAAAAAAATTCACTTCCCAAACACCCACTATATATATGTGTGTGTGTGTGTGTAAAATTAATTCAGAAGGAAGGAAAAAAACAGATATAAATGCCAATTCACATATTCTGTTAAGAGAAATTATTGTGCGTTTTAGTTCACAAACCATACGGAGGTTATGTGATTATTTTCAAATGATTGGGAGGTGATCCACATATGGGCTAAATCACTAGGGGGGTAAAGTGAAATTTGCCCTAATTTATTAAATTTATTTCATTGATAATTGAATATGTTACGTACAATGATTTACAAAGCTCAGGGTACTCCCATCATATTTTGTTCTATAGGCTCTAGAAGTGTACTCTCATCTTTTCCTACCAACTAAAAATGGTTATCTAGAACAGCTGGGAATACAAGAAAACTTAATTTGAAAACAATGTGCCTGTTTGGCAGAAATTATTTACAACTTATTTCAGCTTTCAGCTTAATTTAAACTATTTTGATGTGTTTGGTTTAGCTTATAGCTTATAATTTATAGCTTTGTGGAAGTCAGAAATCAGCTTATTCTTTGAGTGGGGCAGGAGATGCTTTAAGAATAAGCTGGAAATCAGCTTAAGCTGAAAGTTATAAGCTATAAGCTGTTTAGGCATAAGTTATAAGTACTTTCCCACAGCTCTACCAAACAGGGCTAATGTTGTGGCAAATCCTCCATTAGAATTTTATGCATTCCACAATTTTGTCAGAATCTGTTTTCAGGACTCTTGATCTACTGCAGAAGGAGAGGGGAGGCACAAATTCAAACATAGTCTTTAATTCTGTCAACTGTCTTGAACTTATTTTGCTTATGACCATCCCTAAATGTTAGTGCTCACATGTTTAGAGAATCAAGCACAGGTTTGTTGAAATTTCCAGAACGACAGTTACTACCATGGGATTGAAAATCTTGACGAACTTGTAACCATGTTTTTCTTGATATGTTGCTACATAGGGTACAATCATGTGCAATCAGTGAATTCATGATGAGCACCATTTTTAGAGCCTTTTTATTAAATAGTTTTTTGATGTTTTGACTATGTTGGTTTTGACAGTGAGTGTCAACTGATGCTTAATGAATCTATTTTGCTCAAGGGTGCTGCAATTTTTGAGATAAAATTTCTGAAGACATGATTTTTATTGATGGATTATGAGGTAGGAGAATGAAAGTGCAAGGACTAAGCTGGCTAGCTAAAAGGGTCATGATTTTTATTGATGGATTATGATTTTCTCTTTCAGTTTTCACTATCTTCTTTATTTATTTAGTTTTATTTTTTATTTTTTGTGCAAACAGTAAAAAAATTTAAACTACTGATTTTGATCCCACTCTTTCCTTTTAAATGTCATGAATGCACTTGCTACAACAGCTTTCAACAATACTTGGCTTAAATTGAAGAATAGTGAAGTCAGAGATTGCTAAAGAATTCTTTCATTAGGATTCAGCAGAACTAATTAATCCTTAGTAGGTGAATGCAACCACCTATTTTTATTAGTAGAATAGTGTCAGAGAATGTTAGAAACTATGGTGTTTGGATTGAGAACAATATTTGGTGTTCAACTTATTCCATAAATGGTATGTAGTGGATATGCTCATTTCAATCACTTAGTTGGACTTTAGTGGATAGTTTTCATTTGTGTTACCATGCACTCCCCTATCAGACACTTGACATTTGAGTAAGAGTATGTGATGTGTGTTTGGCATGCTTAGTTGGACATACACCAACAATATGTCAACACTCATTGTGAGCATCTGTGCCAACATTAGGTACAGAGTTTTTGCCTTCCAAATTTCCCAATTTGTAGTCAAAAGGTGAATATTCACAATATACTAATTGTAAATTGTTCCTCTTCAATTTAACGTAGGTTTTTTATTTGTATTCAATATACCTATGTTTCACAGCAGGCGTACCAATACGTAATTCGATAGGGTATTAACGTTTCCAGTAACATAGAGGTACACGGAGACCATCGAGCAATTTATGGTTAACATGTTTCTTCTATAGCATCAAGAGTCTATTGCTAGTGTTGTTCCTTGAGCATTTCACATGCATGTTAAAGTTTGGACCAGTGAAGTTTACGCTGTTTTGAAGTGTAATTGTGTCTGGCATAGGGCCACAAATGGTGGTGGTCAAAGACTAGTGTAGGAGCTATTTGTGTATATAATGACCACAGGATGTTTAGGATGGTAGCTATGTGGCAGCAGAAATAACTTGAACAAGAATCTATGAGTTGAGTGTATTTTAATTGTTAATTCATGTTTGAAAAAACAAAAAAAACAAAAAAATAATTAATCTTAGTTTGACAATACCACAAACTAGATCATTATCAATACCTACAACAAGGATCTGCCTATGTCTGATATTAGAGTTTTCTTCTTGTAGCACCCCACATCAAATACCCACTTTCTGATGAATAGTCATGATATCCTCATTGTGCCTCTTATTGTTATTTTTTGGGGGTGCCTTAGTTATGTTATTGCTAATAGGATATGTATAGTAGTGAGTTACAAAGGTTATGGTATTCCCATCACATTTTGTTTTATTGGTTGGAGAGTACACTGACATCTTTCCTGTCTTACAACTAAAATGAAACTCTGGATTAGCTAGGAGTACTACAAAACTCGATTACAAACATCATTCTAGCTAATTGCACACCAGAATTTGGAGCATCACGCTGTTGCAAGTCTGAATCTGTTTGCATGATTCAGTTGACTTTGTTTCTGCTGCAGATGAAGGTTCTGAGGCCAAAATTCAAACGTGTTTTATTTATTTATTTATTTATTTGTAGTTCATGATCAACTTGCAAAATGGAAAGTTTTGTACAAGTTATATGTTTCGTCACCACCGTCCTCTTAATGTTAGTATTCACACCTCATTCAATTAAACATTGAATTGTTGAAATTTGCAGAATGACTGAGGTTTTAATGTCGGAATTGAAGATCTCGGAGTCACAACTATGATTTTGAGAAGCCTTATTGTATAGGGTACAATCATGTGCAACAAGTGAATTCTTGATGGGTCATTTTTTAGTTTCCTTTTCAGCTAACCTGAGAGATGGTTTTATGGTGTTGAACTCTTCTGGGTTTGACAGTGAGTGTCAACTGATGGCTAATGAATGAATTTTGCTCAAAGATGCTGCAGTATATTTTTTTTTTTCAACTTACAAGAATATTTTTGTCAAACTACTTTCAATAGAAGATCTTGAAGTCATTTTCATATAGTTTTACATTTTTTGAGGTTGAAAATAATTTTTAAAATTTCAAAATATGTTTTTGGTGTTTATTTTGTCTACCGTATTTCTATTTTTTCAGAAAAAATTCATGAAACTGATTATGAAATTCAAACCAAACAGAGCCAAAGTGATGCAAGGACAGCTTAAAGGTTCGTGATGAGTTGATGACCTTTTTAGCTCTTAATGAAGCCTAGTTCTCCTCCTTTTTTAGCTGCTTCTTGCCTCTTAGAAGCCGTGAATGCACTTACTATGACAGCTTTCAACAACACTGGGCTGAAATTGAAGAACAGTCAAGTCTGTTAAAAAACATTCTTTTAGTAGGATTTAGGAGCTTAGTAGGTGAATGCAATTAATCATTTTTTTAAGTGTAGGACTTCAATCATTATGGAATGTGGATTGGTGTTTGGAGTGAGAAGAGGATTTGTGTTATCTGTACTCAAGAAATGTATGGTGGATCATATGCTCATTTCAGTTACTCAGTTGGAGTGTAGTAATTTATTTTCATATATCCACAGAACATGATTAGTTCAGAAGCTGTTGTATGCTTATGCTGGCTTTGACATTTACAATGAAGGGACTGGGTTAGGAGTTAGATTCTTATTAGTGTTGATCCAAACATGTGATGGTCTAATTTGGCCTTTTGTTTTTGGATCCATTTGTCCAAAACATGGATGCTACTCGTAGTCAATTTATGGAGACATTAAATGTTGTAGGGATCAAGACTAGTAAGCTTTTGGTTGTCGATTTATGGAGACATATTAAATGTTGTAGGGATCAAGATTAGTAAGCTTTTGATTTTATAGTGCGAACATGTGTCTTTTTCATTTTTATTAGGTATGGGTGTTAATCAAATGAATAAAGATTCTATGTATTTGCTAATTTGTAGTGTAATATGTAGTTCTTTTATTGTGAGCCTCCTACCATGTCAAGAGAATCAAACGGAGGGCAGAGATGATGCATTACTAACAAAGGAAGAAGGATGCAACAGAGGAGAGGTTGAGACTGAAGGGAAAGGAAGATGACGACTTTGATGACGACCACGACCACATACACCGGTGAGTAGCAAGACTCGACTCGACTCGACTTGACTCGAACAAACCGACCGGAATACGAAACTGAATATCCAGCATTCCCGTCTGAGTGGCATTAAAATGTAATTATTCCTGTAAACAAATAGTAATTAGTTGGTTTGGAGTCGTGAGAAGAGACAAGGGGTTTCTCTGTTTTTCCCCAATTGTGTCATTCCCTTATGCAACAGCAAAGCAAGCAAGCAGGCAGGAATTTCCATCATTCCCTTTCTGAGTCGCCTCTGCCACCGTCATAAAGGCTCTTTGCCAATCCCCTGCCACTCTGTAATCTGTTCCCTTCCCTCCCCTCTCATCATATTTTTTTACTATTTGTTACGTTTCAAAATATTAGTTTCCCATCTTATTTTTTATTGTCCTAAAATGTTAATTTCTTTTCAAAAATCAATAACTAAAATAAGATGAATTTTCTATTTTATTCTTTTTTTAAATTCATTAAAAATACAAAAGGTATAATTATTTTTTAAAAAATATATTATCAAAGAATAATTTTAAAAAATTAATATTTTTAAAATATAGCCTTCGTTTGCGAAGAGTTATTTGGGATTTTTTTTTGTTATTTTAGTCACAAAAATAAAATATCACATTTAACTTATAATCATTGCACTCTTCTCTCACAAAAAAAATCAAACCAAAATATTATTTCCAAATTAAATTTTTTAGCCTAAACTAAAATAGTCACCCCAGCACAACCCCCCTCCCAATCTGGTCCTAAACCGATCCAATCCGTATTTAAATGGATTGGTTCGGATTGGTTCTATGATTTAAACGGATTGGATTGGTTCCAATTTTTCAAGAACCGTAGATAACGAATTGATCCTAATTTTATCCCAATCCGATCCAATCCGAACCATGATCACCCCTAACCCGAGCACCCCCAGTGGTCTCGTGCATTTTCCATGTTAGATTTGGCAAAATGGACTATTAATAATTTCTTTATTCAAAAAGTCAAATTTCTAAATTCTAAAAGATTTGTGTCCTGTCTTTTCTGTTGGCAACCACACCCAGTGTGTGCTCCGGACGAAAGTTGATGTGGTGTTCTAATTTTGACTGTGGGTTGTTTTAGCTAAAAGTTAATTTTTAATTTATTTTGGTCTTTTTTTTAAATAAAAGATGTTTAGTAAAAGGCATTTTTTAATTTTTACCTATTTTAAGTTGTATTATCTCTTTATTTTTTATATATTTTTTTAAAAAAAATTGCAAAATTGGTTTTTAATTATCTTTTCAAAATAATCCTTTAGGTCACATTATTTTTCTATGTTTTATACTTCTTTTTTTAAAAAAAAAAGTCAAAACAAACTAAAAAGTTGATTTTTAATCCAATTTTCAAAACAAGTATGTTATTAGTTGAATTAGTGAGATTTATCAGTTTTCTGTCTCTTTTTAAGAGATACTACGGGACTTGTCCCTTAATAAATGGTGTAGAGCAATACTTTCAAACTAACCAATATGAGATGATATTAATTACTCCATACTAGGGGTGCTTAGTGAGATTCAGACTATTTAAAAGTAAAATTATAAATTAAATTGTGAAAGTTAGATTGACAAATAATCAAATCATATTTTAGACGATTTGAGATGGTTTCAATTTAAATTGATTGAAAAATATTCTTAAACAATTATCAAGTATTTATATAATATATAATACTAATTTTTATAATATTTTTTATATATATAATTACTAATTTGCAATCGTAGGCTTACGTCGGGTGTGTGGTTAGAAGCTGCATTTGTGCGTTTGTTAAAAAAAGCCAAATGTTGGTTTTTTTCTGTACAAACCCATTTGGAAGGCTAGTTAAACGCAAGATGGCAATTTACGAATATACCCTTCATTCACTTTTTAAAGTGTTGGAGATTGAGAGGGTGAAATTCTGTAATTACCAAATAGGAAAGGGGTATTTTGGTCTTTTACATTATATGTCATAGTGATATGACATCATAAATAAATATTGACTTAAAAAGTAAAAAAGTAACTTTTTACTAACTTGTCAAATTACTTTTCAAAAAAGTCAAAAAATTTGATTAAAAGTCAAAAGCCAACTTTTAATTATCTTCCCAAAACACCCCTTAATCTCTCTCACTTATTTTTACTTTGATATTTTATAAAAACTAAAAAATATTTATATATTAATTATAATGGAGCGAAATGAAGCGATTTTTGAAGATGAATTATAAATTTCAAGATTTTTAATCTGCGGTTAGTGGAATTGGTGCTTTAGCAAATTTCGTGGTATTTTGTATAATTCTACTCCATACTATTTATTACTTAATACTTGTCAAGTTATTTTTTAAAAAGTAATTAAGTATTAAATTTCATAATTTTAATCAATAAGGTCTCGTTTGGCAACTACATATTTTAATCAAAAATTCAAAAAATTATTATAAATTATCACATTACTCTCACTATTTTTTTTATACATCTTTTCATAAAACGCTAATAAATTATTAAAATAATATATTTATAAACGAGGCCTAAATATCAAATTAAACACCACATAGATTTGTCTAAAAGCAAAATATAATTTCTCGTCATAAATGATACGTGCCCATATGACTTCCATATGTCATTTGATAATTTCGTCCATTATAAGTAGGGGGTAAGAAAAATTGATGAACGAAATTTCAATTTTTTGTTTTTTTTATTTTTATTTTAATAACATATGGTTTGTTTTGATTTTGAAAATTTTTATATTAATATAAATTGAACTAATTGAATATTATATTTAAATATTTTTATATTATAATTTTTTGAATATTATATGATAAAAAAATATATAGGTGGTGTTTGGCAAGTGGTTTTAGGGCTAAAATAGTCACAAAAAACAAAATAGGTTATTTTAGTCATAACAAACAAAACATTACATCCAACCCATAATCATTACATTCTTCTCTCACAAAAAAAGTCAAAAAGTCCTTCCCAAACCAAGCTTTTTAACCCAGGTTAAAATAGCTAAAAAAGTCAAAAAGTCAAAAAATCAACCCACTTTCCAAACGGAAGCATAATATGATTTTGTGATAAAAACTAAGAAGAGAAACATTTATAAAGAAATTTTCATACATTTTCTTTATTTATTTTCAATGTAAATTTTTTTAATTTTCTATAAAATCTTTAAAAATGTTATACAAATTTCTTTTCTGCATCAAACAAAATCAATACAATTGAACTGTAGTATATGGTTTATTATATCGATTTTTCAATCATAAAATCAAAAGAATCAATTCAATGTTAAGTATTCTCTCAACACCAACCAAATCGAACTATTTACTCCCTTACTATATTATTTCTCTTTCTTTTCCGTTTCTCATGAAAATAGTTTTAACTTAAAAAAATAATTACAAATTTATGATATGACCTTTTTCATAGTGACAACCCTTCATGAGGAATGTGGTACCTTTAAAAATTAATTACAAATTTATGAAATAATTTTAATTTTTAATATTTATATAATTTTAGTGATTTAAAAATATTTTTTAAAATCATGTAAAAATCACCCCAACAAAACAATAGATAATAATGTGTGCACAGGGGTAAAACTGTGAATAGAAAGGGCGTCCTCATAAGCTAGGCTACAAACAGTGGAGTGAGGAGGGTCGTCAACATCAATGTCCTTTGTTTCATTTATTATCAAAGAAAAAAATGAGTATAAATTCTTCATGGGCTTGCCTTTGTGATCATGACGACGTTGGCCTATATATCACAATTCTAGAGAGAGAAAAAGAGGGGGGGAGAGAGAGAGAGAGAGGAGAGAAGGTCAAAGCAGCAGCAGCGAGAGCAAGAGCAGAAGGAGGCAGCGCAGCAGAAGCAAGTAGTAGTTGTAGTTGTAATGATTTCTGGGTGGTGGGGAGAGAGAGATATCAGAAAAGCTCGTGATGAGAATTTTATCTTTGCAGGCTAATTATAATTTACAAACAACAGAATAATAAGCGCATCACGAGAGACCCCAAACTCCTTCAGCTTCTTTCTTTCTCTCTCTCTATTCTCTATATTGCGCTACCTGCCTGCCTACCTCTCTGTAGCTGAAAATCTAGACAGTTCCAACGGGACTGCATAAGATAAGAGAAGAAAAAACGAACAAGTCTGTTTTCAGGAGGTGAAATTGAATATTTGAAAGGTGTCCCAAGGGGTTTTGGAGAAGAAACAGGTGGTAGAAAGAAAAAAAAAATCATCAGTAAGGGAGGGAAAACGAAGAGGCTTTTGAAGATCCAGACTCAACACAGAGAGAGAGAGAGATGGGTAGTTGTGGAAGGAATGGAGCTGTGAGACAGTATATAAGATCGAAGGTACCTCGTTTGAGATGGACTCCTGATCTTCATCACTGCTTTGTTCATGCTATTGAGAGGCTTGGTGGTCAACACAGTAAGATCTCTCTCTCTCTGTTGGTCCTTCATGTCCTTGTTTTGGTCTTTGATTTCTTCTTGTGTTTCATATGGTTTTTCTTGATACAAAAAATATCATTTTACTATTTCTGCTTCTTTTTTTATTTTTTTATTTTTATTGTAGAAGCCACACCAAAGCTTGTTCTTCAGTTGATGGATGTGAGAGGACTCACCATCTCACATGTCAAAAGCCATCTCCAGGTTATCATTTTTATTTTCTTTCATTTTTTGCGCCTCCTAATTTTTATTTTTTTATCAGCCCTAATTTATATATATACACAATTGATGCATACTTATTGTGATTCTATTTTGGTTAATATTCTGTTCCTATCAGATGTACAGAAGCATGAAGAGTGACCTGATCAGACAAGGTATACAAAATTTGTCATTACTTATATTTGTTGAAATATATATATATATATATATATATACCACCACAAACACAAACCCATTTATGCTAGTTCATGTTTTCTGATTTAACCCTCCATGCATGTGTTTCTCTGACCTGTGTTTCCTCTATTAGCTTAGCACTCGTTCTTGTTGGAGATCAATCACACTTTTGCTATGTTTTGGAAATGAGTTGTTTCCTAACTTCATTTATTGTTATTAAATCATTGCCAATACAATAAAGTTGTTCCCTAGCCAAAATAGATGAGCACAGAATAAAACTACTATTCTTATAAATCTTCTAATATTGGCATTTCTTATGAAATCCACAACCCTAATTCCTAGTGCATAGTTTTCTGAATCAGAACCATGTTATAAATGCTACTATGCCTCATTTGGATTTTCTTGTTTGTTAAGAGACTCTGATCAAGTCATGCACACACACACATACATACATACATCAACAACAAAATAGAAAAAATGGGCATGAGTTATTTTTCTCTTATATATTCTCTTTGACCAATTTGTGTTGTGTTAAAAAAAAACAACAGAGAGGATAAAACAATCTTTTGAAGATCATGATGATGATGATGAAGGGTGTGTTGATCAAGAAAATGAAAATGATGTGGATAGTTACCATCCATCTTCAAAGCCCATTGAAAATGAAGAATCAGATTCTCACTTCATGTACAGCAGCAGTCCTTTCCAGATGAAGGTAGGTGAGCTTAGCCTTAGACCTTTTAATCCTTATTATATGGGAATAGGAGAGGAGTATTGTTTCAGACCCAAGTCTCAAAAAAGGTTATGCCAAGAAACAAAAAGGATTTTGCATCTACTATACGCTTGCATTTCATTGTTGTCTTTACTGTTTCCAAGATTGTGTGTGTGCGCGCTTTTTGTATCTTTATCTTTTTTTTCTTGATGTTCTTTTTGTATTGTTTGCTTTGTCTCAGAGCTAGAATCGAGACGACGATGAGTTCAATCCCAGAGAAGCAGCAATGCAGCCAAAGAAGAATATGTGGGGGAACAGTCACAAATCCGTACTTTTTTGATGATTATACGCAGCAGCAGCAGCAGCAGCAGCAGGAGCAGACTAGTGTGGCTGAGAAAAGTGGATTAATAGTAATAAAGGAGAAAGAGGGAAAAGAGAGTTGTTACAGATGGCAGACCCACGAAGCAGCAGCAGCACCTCCAATACCCACAGCCACAGATGCAGATGCAGTGCAAGAATCCGATTTCCTTAAGGTACAAACACACTATAGCCTCCCTCCTCACCACGCATCTATGTATTCTCTTTCTACTCTCTCCCTCTTTCTCTCTCTACAGTATTAATCTTGTTTTTTACCCAGCTTTTATGATGGTGTTGGAGTGTCTTGTTGGTTTTCTATGACAACTTTCAAGTTTCAATTTCAAACTCTCAAGTCATTGTTCAAAAATAAAAACTAGGTCATTGTTTGTAGAGCATGGTTTTCATTTTTTTTTTCTTATTTATTTATAATATTACTAGAAGATGCCCTCTTGATTGACCAGCGCATATAACCCTTTGGAAAGAAAAAAAATAGCCCAAATTAGGCTAAAATTTACAAAAAGATAAAATAGACTAAAATAGTTAATAAGACAAAATATCACATCAAACTCATAATCATTTCACTTTTTCTCTTACAAACATCACATCCAACCACAAAAAAATCCAATCATCTTTCCAAATACAAAAATTTTAACCTACTAAAATAATCAAAAATTAAATCAAAAATTAAAATAACTTATTAAAATAACCACTTTCCAAACAAGGCCAAAAAGTCTACTAAACCGTGAAATATGTTGCGGAAGATGTAATATTATAAAGATGTGGGGCTAATAAGACAAAATATCACATCAAACTCATAATCATTTCACTTTTTCTCTTACAAACATCACATCCAACCACAAAAAAATCCAATCATCTTTCCAAATACAAAAATTTTAACCTACTAAAATAATCAAAAATTAAAATAACTTATTAAAATAACCACTTCCCAAACAAGGCCAAAAAGTCTACTAAACCGTGAAATATGTTGCGGAAGATGTAATATTATAAAGATGTGGGGCTGAGATTTAATTGATATATTCACAGTGTGTACCAAGTGCATTTAAGGTGGTGTTTGGAAAGAATTTTAGTTGGATTTTTTTTCATTTTTTGCACCTCCAATACCCACAGCCACAGATGCAGATGCAGTGCAAGAATCCGATTTCCTTAAGGTACAAACACACTATAGCCTCCCTCCTCACCACGCATCTATGTATTCTCTTTCTACTCTCTCCCTCTTTCTCTCTCTACAGTATTAATCTTGTTTTTTACCCAGCTTTTATGATGGTGTTGGAGTGTCTTGTTGGTTTTCTATGACAACTTTCAAGTTTCAATTTCAAACTCTCAAGTCATTGTTCAAAAATAAAAACTAGGTCATTGTTTGTAGAGCATGGTTTTCATTTTTTTTTTCTTATTTATTTATAATATTACTAGAAGATGCCCTCTTGATTGACCAGCGCATATAACCCTTTGGGAAGAAAAAAAATAGCCCAATTTAGGTTAAAATTCACAAAAAGACAAAATAGGCTAAAATAGCTAATAAGACAAACTATCACATCAAACCCATAATCATTTCACTTTTTCTCTCACAAACATCACATCCAACCACAAAAAAATCTAATCATCTTCCCAAATACAAAAATTTTAGCCTACTAAAATAGTAAAAAACTAAAATAACCACTTCCCAGGCCAAAAAGTCTACTAAACCGTGAAATATGTTGTGAAAGATATAATATTATAAAGATGTGGGGCTGAGATTTAATTGATATATTCACAGTGTGTACCAAGTGCATTTAAGGTGGTGTTTGGAAAGAATTTTAGTTGGATTTTTTTTCATTTTTTTCACTAAAAGACAAAATTTGCAAAATTAAAAAAAAATACATCCAAACAAAATATCACATTCAACCTCATAATCACTTCACTTTTTTTCTCACAAACATCACATCTAACCATAAAAAAAACTCAACTATCTTCTCAAACACAATAAAAATTTTCTTTAATAATATCTTGCATCTAAAAAAACCTACATAGAAATTCACTTCCCAAACACCATCTAAGTCACACACTTTGATCATTTTATTTTGGATAAAAATTTTAAATTTTTATTATTACCATGTTAAATAAACATCACATCCAATCATAAAAAAATCAAACTATCTTTTCAAACACAATAAAATTTTTCTTTAATAATATCTTACATTTAAAAAAATTTACATAAAAACTCACTTACCATCTAAGTCACACACATCGATCATTTTATTTTGGATAAAAATTTTAAATTTGTACTATTGCCATGTCAAAATAGCACAACAAAATAGTAATGAGTGGATTACAATTATTGTCTTTTGTGGACTAAAGACTAACCAGTGCAGTCCTTCTTTCATGGTTGCCATAAGTTGTTATTGTTGGGGGTGGTTTGGACATGACATATTTGTTTATTATGAAAAATTATGTAAATTTAGAGAGATAATGTGACAAAAATAAACTATTTAGTCTCTGTTTGGGAAGAGATTTTTTGAACTTTTTTGGCTAAAATAATCACAAAAGACAAAATAGGCTATTTTAGCTATAACAAACAAAATATCACATTCAACTCATAATCATTATACTCTTCTCTCATAAAAAAAGTCAAAAAAGTCAAAAAACTAAAAAGTTCTTCCCAAACCAAGCTTTTTAGCCCAGGCTAAAATAGCTAAAAAAAATTAAAAAGTCAAAAAGTTAACCCACTTCCCAAACCAACCCTTAGGCCTCGTTTGAGAACATGCTAATTTAGTAATTTTTTGACTATTTGGTTAAAATATGAGCTAAAAAAAATTAGTATGTTTGGGATGACTTTTTGACTTTTTACAAAAAAATGTGCAAAAAGTAAAGAAAAAATAGAATCTTTGACTTTTTGGTATGAATTGTTAATTTTTTGACTAACTTAATAATTTTTTGATTTTTTTGACTAAAAATGAGAGTTTTCATACGAGGCCTTAGTCAATAAACAGTTTATTTGACTTGTAGCCAAACTCTTACAAGGACTATCTGCAATGCCCACTTTTTTGTTTTTAAGTTTGGTATTTTCTTGATAAACTATTTTATTATATGGGGCACTTCTTACTGTTTTGGGTAGATGGTTAAAAGTTATTTTTTTAACTTTTAATATATTTTTGGTCATATCATTTCTTTATTTTTTTTTATATATTTTGTCAAAAAAATCAAAACAAATCAAAAAATTAATTTTTAACCAACTTTTCAAAATAATGTTTAGTATAACGAGCTGGTTAGAACTTGACCGCAAGGTCATAACTTTGAATTTAGCTAGTCACTTGGTGCATATAATAATGTTAAGCTAAGAGGGGGTGGAATGCCAAGTAAGATTTAAATCCTTGCAAGGAGAGGGGAGAGTGAAATGGGAGACAACTTAAATTCTTGCAAGGAGAGTGAATTCAACTCCCAAAGTATTAATTTAGCAATTAATCACTAATTTTTGCGGATCGATTAGATATTCAATTTGTATCTAATATCCTCTTCCAGGCACCCTTATTTAATGGGGTCTCAACTTGGCAAAAAAAATTTAAAAATTTTCACGTGCTTTTCATTTTAAAAAAATTGTTTAAATGTTTTTTTATTTATTTTTTATGTCTTTAGCATTTTTCGTAGCATTTTGTTTTTCAAATTTTATTTTACATTTTATTTTATATCGCCATAGTTTAGTTGTGTGGGGTTGGTGGGAAATTAGGCACAATAATACATTGGAGGGTTTGACACTTTCTACGTAGCAGTTTGGTTGGTGGAATTAGGTTTTCTACACTTTTTTCAATGCATGGAAGAATTTTGCATTTCTCAGTTTTCACAAGTTCCATCACAACATCTCATCATATGCTTTATAAAGCAAATTGATGAGAAATGCGGCGTCCAAACACACCTTTTGCTCATTCTCAGTTGAGTTTTACTACTGCCTGCAATTCTATAGTCAGTCAGTCATGTATTGTCATTTCAATTTATCTCCAGTACATAAAAACTGTTGTGCTTACCAATATTCATTAACCCTGTTGTGATTCATTAAACATTTTTTGTTTTGAATTTTTCTCCAGTACTATTTCCCCCATGAAATCATTTTATACAAAATTATATTAAAAAAATTAAAATAAAATAAAGAGAGTAAAAATTAAGATCTATGCGGAATACTGTGGTCCACTCCATTTTTTATACACAGCAATGGGGGCCCCTACTAGTGATATTCAAAAATGGCCCTTTAAATGCAGGGTATAGGACTTAGCAGTTTCTTTACTGTAGTAGGCCACCTCATTCTTCAAGTAATAGTCTTGTCCTATTTTATTCTAATTATGTAGTCAATTATTTCTAAGCCTTTCTAATTTTAAATTTCAATTGATCAAAAAGTATACAATTAATAATTTATGATCATATTAAATTTAAGCCTGCAATACCATTAGTCATTCTTGTAACTCATGGAAGTTTGGTTTTGAGTAGAGCATGGTTTCTACTGACTAGTATTCTATTTTCAGTTTACAAGTAGAACAACAATCTTTTGGATCTTGTTAGATTGGTTTGTTTTAGGTGCTGGAAGAGGTACGTGTGGCATTACCTCACACAAATTATCAATTGTCAACACTAACATGAAAAATGACGAGTTTCACTGTATATACCAATCAATCACCTTGAAAATGGGCAAGACTCAGTACATGTGAATCTCTCCAAATCTCGCGCACACTAGGACTCTCCAATACTACATTAAAATAAGCATGTAATTATGGTAGATTTGGGTTGATGAAACATGTTTTCTTTCACAGGTAACCTTGCAAGAAGACAAAAAATGTGCATCATCAAAGAGGTGCAAATTCGATGATTACTCTAGACATGGACATGAAGATGACGATGAAGAAGAAGAAGAAGGTGGGGGTTATGGATTGTCATTGTCACTCTCACTGCGTCATCATCCCTATAGACAGAGAAGTAATGCTTCATCAACAAGTGAGATTAGTGAGGCTATCTCATCATACTCTAGGAGGTCTCATGTCATCAATGACTACTCTGGCTCCTCCTCCTCTTCTCATCAAAACCATACAATTAACTTAGATCTCTCTATGGCTTTATGTGGTAGTACCTAAGAAGAAAAGAAGAAAAAGAAGAAAAAAAATTGTTTCAGTGTAATTCTTTCCTATTTTGCTCTTTTGCATGGTTGAATATTGTATCCCGCTTTCGGGGTTTGAAATTTGCTGAGGAAATTTTCTACGTATAATGTAAGTCTTATGTTAAGAAGTAGAGATCGTGCAGAGTTTACATTCCATTCTTTCTCTGATATTAATGGTTATTTTTCTGTGAAGTTGGATTGCAAGCCTGCAACAACTTGAACTGGATCTTGATTTTGTATTCCTAAGTTGACTCAAAAAAAATGCCTTTGTTCCTGTTTGTAGTTTTGTTGTTTTTGAGATGGCTTTACAAAGCATTATCTAACTCAAGTCTATGAAAATTTTGGATGTTTGACAAGCCATTTATGAAATTTTCTTGTAGGCTTTATGAGATATAGATCCCGTTTGGTAGAGTTGTAAGAAAGTAATTGTGGCTTATACTTTAACAGCTTATAGCTTATAACTGTGAATATAAGTTAATTTTTGACTTAAAAATTAAATTTTTTCTCTCCCACTTAAAGAATAAGTTGATTTTTTACTTATAAAAAATTATAAGTTGTATTGTTAAGCTGAACTAAATATATCAAAATAGTTTAAATTAAATTAAAAGTTAAAATAAGCTGGAAATAAATCTTACCAAACAGTCTTATAGCCTAATTTTGTTGTTTTCTGTATTTGTTTTTACAAATTTTGAGACAGCTGTATAAAACAGTATCTAACTAAATGTCTTTGAAAATTTTGGATGTTTGAAAATAAGCAATTTATGAAATTTTCTTGTGGGCTTTATGAGATAGCGTAAGTAACCAAATCATTGAGTCACATGTTGCTTCCGACCTTCTATGGATGAGAGAGAGAGAGAGAGAGAGAGAGAATAAGATACTGAGTGCAAAGAAATAAGTGTATATAAATAAAAGCTTCCTCTTGGTACTTTTTAGGGGAAAGTAAAACCTATAAAGCAGACATGATCTTGCTTGAAATTGTGAGTCTGATTTTGTGCATGATATACTACTGCAATGCAAGTGAGGTCCAAAGCAATGAAGCCCAATAGTAGAACCAGTCAAAAAGTATTCACTTCACACCCCATAGAAATAGAAACGTGTAAAAAAAAATTGTGGGGCCGTTGCTCCAAATATCTAAAGATATACACTTGTACACATCCTCATAATAGCCCCAAATCCAAAAAAAAAAAAAACAATAAAATAACGAAAAAATGCATACAAAATTAAAGGCCTTTTAAACTCCTATTTCTTACCTCATGTGAGCAGCAAGTGCATTTTATTTTATTAGAGGGAAGTGCCAACATCACGACCGCATGTAATTAAGACTATTTGTGTATACAGAGGTATATATATATTAATACTTCCTACCTAGTGCTAGAGATAATCAAAGGGAGATATTGCCTACTAAAACTGGCCTAGTTTGGGGATGGAATCAACTTTTCACTTTTGTGAAATGATCATCATATTATTACGATACAGATCCAATCATGTGGACTTTTATTTCTCAACATGTACTAAAGTTGAGCGAAAGTAAAGAATATGAAGTAAATCTAAGTTCTTATCAACATGTTCTAGTTGACTGAAAATAAGTGTGTCAAGTATAATCCACATTGAAGCGAAGCAAATCATAGTCTGTCAAGGAGCAATGGGTATCATCACCAGACAAACAGGGTTTCAGAGATCTCCATGGCAACCAGAACCACAGATCTAACCCTAACCCGTTACTAGAAACTAGCACCAGATTAGTCTTTTGACTTTTTGAGTCCTGCTTGTAGAGAAGATGATGTCCCAAACCATAGAACCATTATTGACTCTTACTTCCATTTCTTGCCTTTGTATTTGAAAGTAGTGACTTAATGCAGAGTCGTGGCTTAGTAGTAATAAGGTTGAGCGGAAGAACTGAGATAGCAACCACCAATGATCCATTGGGTAATCCAGAGATGGGTAGCAGCTCCACCAGAACTGATAACTGTAAATTTATTTCATTTATTATCATTTAATCACAAAAGAAACTACAGAACTCAAAAGAGATTAATTTATGACTATAAAGTTGCAAGGTTTTTTTTTTTTAACCTCCGGAGATTTCAGGTCCACAACTGAATCTGGTACAACATCTTTAACTGCTGTGGCCACAACGCTAAAGCATTTGTTACGGTCTAACAAAGCTATTTCTTCAGAATCTTTAGAAGTATTTCTTGAAATCTTCAGCTCTGCCTCCTCAATTCCTCTTCTGTTATACCCAACTGCAAACTACAATACTCATATATAAGAATTTTTTCCCTAGCATATCTACAATCATTGTGTACACACGCACACACATGCACACAAAAAAATAATTCTTGCAAAGAGGAAAAGAAACGAAAAAATATCATACAACAATGCTATTGCTTAAACTTATCAAAATGAAACAAAATATAGAGAAAAATCCATTGTTGATAATGGTCTCCTATCAAATATGTAATTCTATACAAAAACAATTTTCAGGTTTGCTATGAAACCCATACATACAACAGTGCACTGGAGGCCAATTGTGTCAGTTCCTGCCACTCTCCATATAGTAGCCTATCACAATTTTTTTTCAAATGCCCCATCCAAAAACAAGACAAACATTAATCATGATGAACCAGGAACGTAGTAACAGTCATGAATCCCATACAAGTGATGTGAAGGTGCACTGGAGACTAGTGATGTCAATTCCTGCCAATCTCCATACACAAACCTATCACAATGTCTCTCGCTTCAACCTCTTCGCTGAATGTACATATGAAAGCTGAACAATGCAGTACCAATAGAATTGATTCATACCTTTATAGGTCGTGCAAGCTTGTTCCGTTTATCATTTACAAACTGAATAACAAGCTTTGACACAATTGCACGCAGTTCCTTCTCATTCAAACAACAAGTTGCTTGGATAGGAAAAATGCGATGACACCAACTGCACCAAACAAATGACAGCCACTAGTTATTTGGTAATGCCTATAGCAAGATCATAGTCAAGATAAACTAAACCACAAAAATCAATAACATGAATAAGAAAAGGTCCAATTTTAATGCACCAGATTCCGTGCCTACATGAATAACTTAAATTTTGTAAACCACCCCCTTTTTGGCTACAATCCAGAGTAACTTGAGTTGAAAAAAGGGAATTACAAATACGGCACGAAAGTTTATCAAAAATGCATATTCCCTCACTCTTGTTTCAAAAATTATAAATACCCCTGCTAGATTAGTCACTTTAATAGTCAATAACAAAAATTAACTAATTTCCCTCCAATAACCAAAAAATGATAATTACCCTACTATCCTCATCTCTTTTCTCCATCACCAAACTCCTCTCTCCACCACCACCATATTCCCCAACCCTTCACCACCATCAATCGCCACCTATGAAAGGGAGTGATACTCCATAAATACTCGTGGATACGTAGCTAATACATCCCAAGCTTATTGGATATCGGATACTTTTTGAATACTCTAGGTCACGAATCTCAACAATTATTAAATTGAGATTGTAATAATTCCTACATAACATTATAGTAAAATTGTTAGGATAAATATTATAATGGTTTCTCAATACTTTGCTTGCTTCTTAGGGAATGAGGGGGAAAAACAGTGAAATTACAGTAGGACACTACTTCTATCAAAATTTATTGAATTGATGTATACTTGACATGTCATACACATGTCCACAATTGTCAAATCATGAATAGAAATCCTAATTTTGCAAATCGTGAACCGAAGTTTGGCATCCTCAAAAAAATCCAAAAAGTCAAAAAGTCACTATCCTTGTTAAAACCTACCATCACCTACTCCACCTACTACACCTACCACCACCTACTACACACCTACCACTACCACCTACTACCACCTACTCCACTACATCTCCTATATAAGGAGCCCCTCATCATTTGTAATATACATCAAAACATCAATCAATAATACATCAATTTTAACATGGTATCAGAGCAAGGTTAAGAAACTAGTAATTCTGCTTCACCGGCGGGCGGCAGCCTCGCCTTGGCCGCCCGCCGGACCTCTACACATGCTCTCACTCCCCTCTTTCCTCCTTCTTCTTCTTCTTCTTCTTCTTCTTCTTCATCCAACAAGAATCTCCCTCTGCCCCCAGGTAGACCACTCATTGCTTGTTGTTGTAATGAATTTAATTCTGCTCTCAATGCTGCTGCATCTTCCTCTGCACGGTATTGTTCTTCTTCTGCTTCTTTTACTCGTTTTTTAATCGTACGAAGTTGGGCTGAGAGATCCTCCTACACTACCGTGCAACAACTGCAGCATCTTTTTCCATCGCAACATCTTTGAGAGCTTTTCTCAAGGATGATACAGTATTCTGTTCCAGATCATTTAAACGCTTTTGAATCACATCACACTCTGCATCCTTCGTCTGAAGCTTGGACACATGTTCCTTCAACACCTTCTTCAGTGAAACCGGCGCCGAAAAGCACGTCCCTCGCGCTGTGTTCGTAGATCTCGCACCAGCACCAATCTCGGACTAATGATCATCAGATCTAATGGAAACAGTTTTGATTCAAGTACATGTTTGCAGCAACCAATGACAGATCATGGGTAGTTCGGCATGTTTGTGTCATGGGATACTGCAATGCACCTCTGGTGTAGGATTCAACCAAGTCCCAGGCCAATGGGTTCCGTCAGCCATCCATGTAGCTTTCAAGATCTTCACACTCTCCACAGGTTCATCATCGGTCTTCTGTCTCTGTTGCTTCAAGGCCTTTATTTCCTCTCGAGCATGATAGGCCTCAGAACGACGGCGGATCGAGTCGGGCAGGCCATTGCTGCGAACCTTGAACTCATCATACTCACGTTTTACCCGTCTACGATCCTTGACAAAGTCAGTCTTCACCTTGTTCTTATAAGGATCCTTCTTCAAATTGAAATAAGATTCTGGATTCCTAGGCTCAATGTCATGTTTACGGCAAAATGGAATCCATCTATTAGCAAAACTTGCAGACAGTAAAGAAAGAGTGAGTGGTGGTCTCTGCAACGCACATGGGGGCACCCACTCAATCTCTCTCTCCCTCTCTCCTCACGGACATCCACTGGGTCACCCACTCAATTTCTTTATTTTTTTTCTTTTACTTCCTTCACCACCACTCACCCATGTGACCCACGATGCTCAGATTCTCTAACCTATACTTTTTCATTTTCATTACACTCCTGTTTCCCACTTCTCTTTCTTTTCTTTTTTTTTTTATATTTATTTTACTCTATCTTTCAAAAAAAAAAAAAAAAAAAAAAAAAACGAACACAATTTACCATTTTGCACAACAAACCATATTTTCTTCATCTCAGGGATTAACCCCGATCACAATTTTACACACAAAAAAAAAAAAAAAATTACGAATTTGAACAACAAACCATATTTTATTCATCTCAGGTTTCCACCCTGCTCCCACTTTTACACAAAAAAAAAAACAAAAAAAAAAAACAACAACAAACAAACAAACCAACCACACCCACAGTGGGATTTTTCTCTTTTCCCTTCTCTACTCTACTGCAGGTCTCTCTTCTTCCTTTTATCTTGGGTGTCCCGTGCCAGTCCCGGCCTCCGTGTTCCACTGCCACCAAGCACATTCACTCCCACCTGCTCCTCCACTACAGCATTATGGCGGCCCTCCAAATCGGAACATACGGTGGCCTTCCGCTTCAGCTCCTTGTTTTCTGCCTTTAAAGCACACTTATCTCTGCTCGCGCATCCCTTATACATGCGCTGGAGCAGAGCCAGTTGGGCGTTTAACTGCTGCACCTCATTTGTCCTACTCTGCAGCCGGTGCCGACAGGTTTGTGACCGCGTCATGGTTCCACACATGACTTCAAGTATACTGATTGCCTCAATATCCGTTGCACCGCCATTTTTTGCTCCACCCGACCGCAATCGGAAAGTTCAACGGAGCAAAACCAGAGGCGCTTGGTTGAGGTTCACTGGCCACCGCACCAGTTATCTCTCTTGTTGACTCGTTGAGTCGGGAAAAGAGAGTGAGCAGACCACGGGAACGAATAGGCCAATTTCTGGTAGCTGAACGGGAAGACGAGGCCATGTTATGGGTTGCTGAGTGTTTCAGAGAGGGGTTGGTTACAGAGTGTTTACAGAGTGTTTCAAGATTTGCAGCTCTTAGCGACAAGCTCTCAGAGAACGAAGAGATTTCAACTGGTTTGCTCCCGTTAGTCTGCTCACTCTCTTTCCAAGACCTCATGAGTCAACAAGAGAGAGAACTGGTGCGGTGGCCAGTGAACCTCAACCAAACACCTCTGTGTTTTGCTCCGTTGAACTTTCCGATGCGGTCGTGGAGCAAAAAATGGCAGTGCAGAACTGATATTGAGGCCAATCAGTAACACTCTAAAGTTCAATGTGTGAAAAAACCATGACTGCGGTCACAAACCTGTCGCACCGGCTTCAGAGTAGGACAAATGAGGTGCAACAGTTAAACTCCCAACTGGCTCTGCTCCAACGCGTGTATAAGGATGCGCGAGCAGAGATAAGTGTGCTAAAGGCGGAAAATAAGGAGCTGAAGCGGAAGGCCACCGTGATGTTCCGTTTTGGAGGTCCGCCATATGCTGCAGTGGAGGAGCAGGGTGTAGTGATCATGGCCAGTGGAGTGGGAAACACGGAGGCAACACCGGCAAGGGCCGCCCAGGACGGAGGCAAGAAGAAGAGACCGGCAGCAGAGTAGAGAAGGGATAAGGAAAAAATCCCGCCTGTGGATGGGTGTTTGTGTGGGTTGTTGTATTTTTTTATTTTTTATTTTTTTGTGTGTGGAATGAAAATAAAAGAAAATTTGGAAAAATCAAAAGTGGTTGGAATGGACATATAGATAGATATATATAGAAAATAAAAGATAGTTGAGGAGAGGGAGGTAACCCGGAGTAATAATAATAATAATAATAATAAAATGGGTATCTTGGAGTGTCCAATTGCAAGCAATTTACCATCCTTCGGTTTGGTTGCCCTTATATATTCCAGCGCGGCAGGAATGTCCTCTTCCAGGTAGTGATCAAAGTCCCAATCATACTGGACCATTAAGTCAAGTTGCTTCTGGAAATCTTCAATTGTTGTGAAAAACTGCTCTTGTAGATTAAACAACTGAGGTGAAACAGAACGCTGACTTTCTTCAATAATATTTACAAGCTTTTGACTCAGATCCCTGATTTGGCTAGCCACAGCAGAAGTTTGCCTTGCTTCTAACAAACTTGGAAGTTTTCCTCTTATCTCGTTAAAGCGTTCATATAGAAAAAAGTCCTCCAAGAGTCTTGATATTTGATCGAAAAGTTTTGCATACATAATTTTTGATTGGCCTTCACTGAGAAAGCCAGAGAGTCTTTCCGACAGACGCATAAAAGTTTCTGTCAACTCTGTCACTAGTCTTGATTCATCCCATACAGTTGCCATCCCTGTTGGGTCCCCTTTGACAACAGAGATATCAGAGTCTGCCTTTGCACTGGAGATATTGGTTGACTGCTGTTCTGCAGGAAAAACTCCATCAGTTGCAGTCACAGCAGTAGCTTCCATCATATCAGATATTGTATGGGCAGACTTCTCAATTTCCTTCGAATCTGATCCCTGCATGCTCAACCCAGCACCTCTAACCCCAAGGACCCATGTGTCAAATCCTTGACCACACATGTAACGGGCAAATGAAGACTCGGGAGAGAGGTCGTATCCAATGGCATTAGTTCCCACACCAGACAACAGCAACAGCGGTTGAGGGAGGTGGTGGAAAAGTGAAGTAACCATTCTTTTGAGGGAGGTGGTACAAAAAATATTGTTTAGAAAAAGAGGAGTTGAAGATGAATCAGCCATTGAAGACTGAAATTAACAAATGGGTTTGCTTCGGTGAGGTGTTAAAAAAACGCCAGCGGGCAGCGAAGGTATGGTTGCCAGCCGGCTGCCCGCCGGAAAGAAAGGAATATAGGCCTAAATCTTATGGCTCTGATACCATGTAGAAATATAATGTAAAGAGAAATAGAGAATTGTATAGATATTGATTGTATTATTAATTGATCTATATTACAATGATTCATGATTCCTATATATAGAAGAGGGTGAGTGTGTAGTAGGTAAGGAGTAGGTGAAGTGGAGGTGGTAGTGGTGTAGTGGGTTAGGTTTAGTGGAGTAGGTGAGGTGGTAGTGGTGTAGTGGGTTAGGTTTAGTGGAGTAGGTTTAAGTGGGTGGAGAGTAGGTGGATTTTAACATATTTAAGTCACATCACCTTATTTAAGTGCACTTATTTAGAACACCCCAAACAACCCTTAGTACAAACTATAAAAATGATGTTAAACAATCATATATATGAAGAAAAAAAATTTAAATAAATTGATTTTGGAACATGTTATAAAATAATTCTTTTAAAACACATGATTAAACTGTCTAATTAGGAATACATTGTCTTTATAACAAAAGATGTGAATACAAATCTCACCAATCATAATATAATCTCTTTTGACATTCAAAAAATGGGTGAACCCTACATATAGTATAATAATAAAAAAGAATTAAGTAGAATCCTTTATTTTAAAACCTACGTAGAATCACATAACAACCATTTGAAAGAGATTAGTGCAATCCAGCAGTTTGACACACCCGTTTTTCATTTGTAGCTTATATGATGTGTCTACAAAATAACCTACCAAAAATATATTAAAATGCTCTGAAGGAAAAATAGCTAATATAATACTAATATATAATATGAGGAACTACAATCAACTGGTAGAATATCTACATTAGCATCCATGTCAATGGGAAGGTGCCTAATTACCATGGAAGATATCTCCTTCCCACATGGAGAAAGATAATCTAGCTAATTTGTTGATCTTTTAGTTTCTCTGTACTTTCTAGATCAACCAAAGGTAACTTTTTCAGCTTAGAAAGAACCCAAATAGTGTAAGCACTGTCAAGAGACTCATGCTCACTGTTCTTTATTTAGTCTTCCTATCATGTGAAAATAGATGCTTTTTTTGTCTAACAGTCTCCTCCATTTCTCCATCCATTTATTATTGAAGCAATAAGCAAAAGAAGCAACAGGTGCGTACACAGGCCACATTTAAAGAACTAAGGGAAGCAGTTAAAATAAAATAATAATAAAAAGTGAGATTAACTACCTCCACCAAATTGTTTGGGATATATAAGAAAATAATTTTGTAAACTTGTTTCAGAAGATTATTCACATAGAACAGTACTACAAAGAAAAAGAAGAGACAAAGAGCCAATAATATTAAACAAATTAGGGCAAGTAAGCAACTTACAGTGGTGAATTTAAACTCCCAGATTCCAGAAAACAAATAATTTTTGACACAGTATCAACAACATCAAGAGAATCATTTCTAGGAATGGTAAAAAGAAGCAACCCACTCCCTGTCAGCTTAACTAGTGAAAGGGTAGGACTTCTTTCTTCATTTGTATCTGATTTTGCAGAGGTCAAACAAGAATCTTCTAACAGTTTACCTGCTGTCAGGAAGTAAAAGTCAATCAATTCTTTATAATAAAAAAATTAAAAAAAATTATATCACCAGAAGTGCATTTGAAATTTATGTCACATTGTCCATAGAATTACCACTAGAGTCCCCAAAGTTAGAAGCAGCGCTCTTGCTTTCTATACTGCTGGGGCATTCACTGTCTAATTCCAAAACGCATAATTTCCTTCTCTTAGCAGCAACATTTGCATCAGAGCTTTCCGAACTTACATAGATGCTACAATTAAAGATTCCAATACACTGCAAAAGTCAACAAATGGACATGGCTGCTGAGAAATATTAAAAGAACTTCACTTTATTCATGTATTATTTTGAACTGGAAACATGGTCTAATGTACATGAGAGAACAAAATGTGGGTGTAATAGAAATTCAAACCATAATGGATTCAAAACTTCCCCATTCAAAAAATAGCATGTTTATATTATCCTGCTGAGCCTGAGGAAATGTTTAAATTTTCATGAGTGATATGAACAAAAACATGACAGTCATTGATAATTTCTTTACTGTTTGTTCAAATACTAAAACACTTATCATTTTTGGTATTGCAGGTCAGTCAAAATATCTGCAGAAGCATCAGAACACGTGTAACAAAAGCTTGAAATAAGGTTGCCTAGCAACACCAAAAGGACATCTCCCTATTTACTCAAACACAATAACCCAAATGAATGCCATTAAATCAGTAAACATTTTCCAAACTGCTTTTGTTGTCCTTTTTTTCCCCTCAAAATAACAAACAATTGATCAGTAAAAAGGAGTTTTGATTAGTTAGTCTAATGCAATTGGATTGATCATATGAGAAGTAGAAGAACTCATAGTTTGTCAGCTCCTCATACAAACTCTCAAACCTGAATAGCCCTCATTGCATTCATGCATGGCTGAAACATGAAGGAGAGCAAACGTCAACTCAACCCCAGAAGGGAGCACAAGTTGGCAGGAACCCTCCACCATGGCGGGTGTTAGCACCCTAGACTTGAGGGCTGCATGATTGGCTTCTAGTGGCACCTTGAGCCCATGTCAACCAGACCAAGGCATGAGCGAGGCATGCCTAGACAACAAGATGGGAGCATGATAGTGTCCATATTGCAGCGACACTTAATCCATGGACAAGTGTGGGTGGCATAGCAAATACAAGGCACAAGATAGACTTGGACCAAATGCTTGGCGTGGCATACTTGTGGGTTCATTACAACCAGTATGGCAAGACCTGATCTAGTGGCCATGGACAAACCACTTTGTGGTTGGCTTGCACTGATCAGACAACAAGGTGGTTGGCAGCAGTTGTTCTTTCTGACAGTGGCTATAGCATTATGGTAGCATCTATTTCAGTTGGCAAAGGTTGATTGGGTAGTTCTGAATTTGTGTACCCATATGTTAATTGCTGATTATAGAGATTTTGGTTATACTAAAAAGGCCCGATTCCTATGGAATAGTGTGATTTGTATTGTGGTTGGGGTTATTTGGGCAGGAAAAAAAAATTGTGAGAATTTTTTATGACAAGTTTAAAGATGTTGGCAAACTATGGAACAAGATTTGTTATTTGTCATCTTTTTGGATTTTGGGTAATTTTTAGAAATTGGAAGGCTATTTGCCATGTGTTATTGTTATTTCCTTTTTTTTCTCTTTTCTCTTTCTTGGTGGACTTCTTGTCCTCCTTGATGTGCTTTGTAACTTAGTTACGTTTTTTCTTAACTTATCTTTACTATTGCTGATCAAAAAAAGTTATTGAAAGTACGTCTATAAATTGTTTTCTTTGTTTGAAGTGGTTCAGTATTGTTCCATCTGTTGCAAAGATAACAATAAATCAGCTCTGCGAAATGTACAACAGCTAACAATAAATGTAAACAGCAACAGATAGAGGTCTTAAAAGATAAACCTTTTCAAGAATGGACATGGCTTCTTTTGTGGCACTTTTTTCCCTCTCTGAAACAACAACAAAGTTTTCAAACTTCAGTTTCCAACGTAAACAAGTAGTTACATGTATGCATACAAAATAAAAATCACTATCTATATATCACAATCTCCATCAAATAGATTTGAATGCTTAAATATATAAATCATGAGAAATATTAAGAAAAAAAAAAATACACTTTGCCAATCAATCTATCACATTTGTGTCACTTTCCCCCTTAAACTATCAATTTGAACAATTACCCCTTAAACTAGTGACAATTAGTTCACGTTATCCCAAACCATTACCAAAGTTAATATCTTTGACGAGTTTACTACAGTTAAGCTTAGGCACCACAAATTACAGCAACACAAAATTTGGGGAAAAACAATTTTGACCAAGGATTCATCAAAAGAAAAAAAATGGAAAAGTTTGACATACAATATATTCTTTCAATTAAATTGGATGATGAAAAATTGAGTTATTATTTAAAATATTGCTGAAAATGTTTCCCAAAAAAAGTTCCACAAAACAAAAAAATCATGCCCACCGCAATCAATTGTCCTATACATATATACACAGGCAGAAAGAAAGGAGATTCAATGAGAGAGAGAGAGAGATGAAACTGATGGGGCAGGTGACGAGAAATCCAGATTGGGAGTGATAGAGGAGCGAAGAGGGGGCGTTGTAGTCGAAGCGAGGGATGCTTATCACTGCAGAATGCTGCTCCCATGGCTTCATGCTCACTCTCTCTCCTTCTTCTTGCACTTTCACTTCCATTTCTTCAGCCATGTTTGTTTTGTTTGTAATTGCACTTTTCACAGAGCACTCACTGCTTAACCCACCCACCCCCCGGCAAAAAAAAACCCTAAAATTTGAAGATATTTCACTGTCTTTGTGTTCTGTTTGGAGGGAAATTCTACGGAAGAGAATAGCTACCCTAAGAGCATCTCCAACGGTAGTAGGCATTTTACCTATCTAAATATTACTATAAAGTATATATTTTATTTTGCCTATCAACTGTTTTATGTTTTTACTCCAACCATGCTCTTTATTTTAGCTATTTATCCAAATACTATTAATTTTATAGAATGCCACGTCAATAACAAAGATGGAGGGAAATGATCCTAATGATTGAACACATTTTGCCTAGCGTTGAAGGCTAGCTACATGTAGCTAGTGAATATGAGTTGAGCCAAAATGCCTAATCATATGTCTAGTGCATTGGAATTGAAAAAAATGAATCACACTAGGCATTTTAACTAACAAGTATTATATGCCTAGTGCATTGGAGATGCTCTAAAGATTCATCTTTCTGAATTCTGAAAATTAGATATTTTATTTTATTTTATTTTATTTTTTAAATATATATTTTTTGTTTTTAGTAAATATTTTTAAAATTTTAAGTAAATTTTTTTTTTAATTCACCTTACTTAGATATATCTAAATAGTAAAATATTGGGATTTTTTTTTTAAGGTCCTTGGTATTATGATTTTATAGCATAAAGAACACTCAATATTTTTATAATGTCTAAGGCCCCTCAACATTAATCCTGAAAAAATTTGATCCAAAGAAAATTCAATCTAGTAAAATTCTTTAGTCCAAACTCAAATAAATTCTCTAGTTTGGTCCAGAGGAGAAATTTCAAACAGGTAGTAATTAGTAGAGAGTATTGCCAAGCCAATACTAAGCACTTTACGCAAGCTATAACCAAAACCATCACAAGTTTGCATTAACTTGCTTACAAGTGTGTGAGTGAGGATTTAAAGGACTCAAAAATTGAAATATTCATTCAAAACTTTAGGAAATTCAGACTGTATCTCACTGTCTCTATCCAATATGGCCTTTACAAATGAAAAATTTTTCTGGACACATTACAAAAAAATTTCAAAATTTCTCTAGACTCTCCAAACCCAGAGAAATTCTTAGACAAACATTTCAGAGATTCTCTCACCCAGAAAATTTCTCTGGACTCCACAACCTAGAGAAAATTCTCAAACATATTTCTAGAGAAATTCTCTCAACCCAGAGAATTTCTCTGGACTCCACAACCCAGAGAAAATTCCCAGACATATTTCCAGAGAAATTCTCAGGAGCTTGCTTAGTCCACCGAATAATTTCTCGTTGAAGAAAATCTGAGTAATCAAACCTCAAACATGACTAGTCTCTTACCAGGAGGAAAAGAACCCAACAAATGGCGTCACTGGCCATCTTCTCTATTTCAAAATACCATGCAAAACCAGTTCCTCAGACCTGACTTCATTTTCTACACAAATGCAAAGCTTCATCTCACAGAGTAAACCCACCGGAGCTACATCTCACATCCAGACTAGGCACCACCTGCAAGGACACCAACCCGTCTTCTCTGCATCTTTGAGATTATCGACTGCGCTCAGAAAAATCCACAATGGGTGTCGGCGTCGTACGGCGTGTTCATGTGCTTGGAGTGCTCGGGGAAGCACCGCGGTCTCGGAGTTCACATCAGTTTCATCCGATCGGTCACCATGGATTCGTGGTCTGAGATCCAGCTCAAGAAAATGGAGTCTGGAGGTAACAAGAAGCTCAATAGCTTTCTCTCTCAATACGCCGGTTGAGTTTGGAGTCTGGAGCTGGTAATGGTTACGGTGAGAAGAGAAGAAGGGTAGTGGTTGGTGGTTGGTGGTCCATACGAGTTTCAAAAACAGCATCGTCATTATCTTCATCCCTATAGGATTCAAAATGAGGGGTTAGCTCTTCGTTTAGATCGGGCACGGAAGGAGAGACAAAGAGGGGATATGTTTAGGGACCTTAGACATCAAAAAATAATTTTGTGGATCTCTTCCATTACGAAAAGTGAGAGAGGGACCCTAAACTAATTTTTCCTAAAATATTTTAAAAAATTAATAAACACAATAAAATATACTAAATTTTGAATTCTTTTTTCGTATTTTTAATATTTAGTAAATTTTTTAAAGATTTTTTTGACAAATATGATACAGTATTTATGTTATGCGTATTTAAAAATTTTAAAAATTCATTGAAAACAAAAAAAAAAATAAAAAAATAAAATTTTCTGAAAAATATTTCCTAAAAGCCAAAACTCTGCATCTTTTTCATATTTCTCCAGATTAATGACATAAATTTTGAGGTGAAAAATATTTCCTAAAAGCCAAAACTCTGCATCTTTTTCATATTTCTCCAGATTAATGACATAAATTTTGAGGAATTCTAGAATTTCTTTTCAATCTGTTATAAATATTTTTGAAATGCAAGGATAAAAGAATAAAAAAAATTTGACAGAATGAGTTTACCTGCATCATATATAATAGAATAAAAAATCAACCGTGTTGGGACCAAGTGAGGGTGACCCCAGCAGCCCTAGTCCACGTAGAGGGCTACAAATGGCAAGAAAAATAAAATAAAATAAAATAAAAATTTTAACCAATCAGACCTCACTGGGTCCTAGGGTCAGCCCCAATAGGGGTCTGATGCATTTCTCATAAAAAATATATATATTTGCAAAGAAAAAATTATTTACATTACACTGTGTAATTAATTATAATGAAATATTTGGCACCATTTGGAAATAAATTATTTTAATTGATTATTTGATTATTTTAGTTTAATTAGAAAAAATTATATTTGGGATTTTTTTTTTTTTTTTTTGTAATTGATTTGATGGTTGTGAGAAGAAGAAGAAAAATTGATTATAAGTTTGATATGATATTTTATCTTATTAGCAATTTTAGCATATTTTAGTCTCGTTTTGGAACTTGACTATTTATTAATTAATTTTTTGACTATTTAATTATTGAGCAAACTTTACTTTATCCCCATTATGGTTTTGGCCATTTGTAAATTACCTTTGACGTTCGAATATCTCCACATAATCTCTTTGTGGTGTATAGAATAATGTGCATAGTTAACACCGTTAATGACAAACGTAAAAAGACCAATTTACCTTTGTATATATATATATATATATATATTTGTACCTCTTATTCATCAAATATTTTTGTACACAATATCTATGGAATTTGTACACAAAATAAATAGAAAAAATCTCCCCAAATCTTGAGCACATGGCTAGCCATCACACCTCTTAGGCTATAATCATTGTACTTTAGTACAAACAAATCCCTTGAAATCCTAGAGCAATAATGACTTTGGTACCTATAAAGATTTGCTATATATATATGTGTGTACTTCTAATTAGAAGGTATTTAAATTAGCCCTAAACCTAACTAGATCATAATTAAATACATAATTAAGGTTCTAAAAGCCCTTCCCAAACCAAGCTTTTTAGCCCAGGCTAAAATAGCCAAAAAAGCCAAAAAGCCAACCCACTTCCCAAACGGAGGCTGAGTTTCAAGCTAATCCAACGGCCCAACAAATCTGTGCTTCCAAGAATATATATACAAATTATATATAGGTTGGAAGGAAGAACAAAGAAAATATGTGTGTATATATATATATGTATGTATAGGTATGTGTGTATATGTATGTATATTATTTATACATATGTATGTACGTATATCAGCGTTCAAAGTGCTATGGGTTGTTTCTAGGAGTGCTCGTTTGTTCTAGGTTGTGACAGTGACGATCATGGTGTCGTCGGTGGTACGACCTGTTCTTGGAATTCTCCAGCAATGGCGTTGTGACTGGTTTATCATCGGCGGTGTTGGTCTCTGGTTTGTGGTCTGTTCGTGAGTATCCCGGCGATGCTGGGTTTATCTCCAGCGTCGCTGTTACAGTGAGTGTGAGTGTTGTAGCATGGTGTAGTGAGTTTGATGATCTCGTAAGCTACCGGTGGTGACATGTAGATGACGTGTTGGTTTTCTGTTTTGTGGTTGTCGTTCATGGCTTCCAGCGTGTATTGTCAATGGATTCTTACTGAGTCACTAGTTTTGGAGATAGTCATATGATCGTGTTCTATGGCAAAGGTATTGGCTACCTCCCCAGAGTTTGTTTGCCTCTCTCTCTAGTCTAGAGAGAGAATGATGTTGTTAACAGGTATGAGAATTGATGTGACTTGTCAGTAAATCTCAATCACACAGTGTAGCACTCTAGGAAACTTTAGGGAAATTTCACTCTAGAGGATCCTTGGTGATGAGATATGGAGGCATTTTGGTCTTTTAATTGTAAGGGAACATCATCAATTCATGTCTAATTGCATCACACTTGCGTGCACTGTACAACTGATTAGAATAGATGGAAAAGCTAACTATGCATATTATTCCATCAATCACAGGGAGTTATGTGGTGATATTCGAAAGTCAAGAGGTAATTCGTACATGGCCTAAACTATAGGGAGGTAAAGTGAAATTTGTCCTTAATTATTTTAGATTAGTCAAAAAAAATTATGTTTGAAATGATAGTTGACTTTTTTTTAGTTGATTTGATAATTATAAGAGAAAAATAAATAATTATAATCTAGATGTGACATTTTATTTTATTATCTATTTTAATCTCGGTTTTTTTTGAGTAAGTAAAAAAAAGTCAACTTATTGACTTACTAATTTATTTAAACAATTCTGGTAGGTAACTCGAAAAATGAGAGGCTCGAGTAGCTTGAAATCCAAAATGATGCCATTTTTTTTTTGTTTTTTGTTTTTTGTTTTTTCAGAACTCGCAAGTTTCATAGATAATAAAAAAAAGAAAAAGAGAGAAGATAAGAGGAGAGGAAAAGCGGAGAGATTCAAACCTAAAAATCAAAAATTAAAAATCAAAATCAATCAAACAAATCAAACCCAAAACTCAAAATTAAAAATCAAACCCACAAATAAAACTCACACATTAAAACCAAAAATCAAAATTAAAAATTAAACCCACAAATTAAAACCAAAGAAATTCAAACAAAATCAAAAATTAAATCCAGAGAAATTTAAATCAAAACTATGTGTGTGACAGAGAGATGAGATGGGAGAGAGCCATAATAATAGAGAGAGAGAGAGCCATAATAATAGAGAGAGAGTTTTTTTATCCATGCATTTAAGATAGGGTGGCTGTTTGAATCAAAATAAAGAAAAAAGAAAGGGTGGCTGACATTGATGGCCATTGCATGCTGGAGTTATGGGAGCTTAATATTTGTACATCCCTATTTGCCCACTTTGCATATATTTAATAATTATTATTTTTATTATAATTTTATTTTTAAATAAAATTATTGTTATGAATATTAAATAAATATATTCAAAAGTTGAATGTCAAAAAAATAAAAAAAAAATTAAAACTTTTACTTTTAAACAAGTTATTTATTTTCAGAATGTTATTTTTGAATCAATTAATTATTTCCGAAATATTACTTTCCAACTAATTATTTATTAAAAAAAATATATAAAATGTAACAAGCGTGTGTAAATAGAAGCTTCCCATGCATTTAAGAAAGGGTGGCTGTTTGAATAAAAAAACAAAAAGAAAGGGTGGCTGCCATTGATAGCCATTGAATGCTTCAATGGCCCACCTTACCTAAACTTTACTAATAAGTGCTCATCAATCTCTCCACCTCTGTCACTGAAGTATCTGACCATAAGTATCCATTCCATACACTCCCTCCTAACACACAGACACACCAGAGAAAGAGGAAAAAGTCTCCTTTGTGTGTATACAGAACTATTCTCTCTCTCTCTCTCTCTCTATTTTTCTTCTTCTCTTTCTCCTTCTCTTCATCTTTTTTCTCTATTCCTCTTCCTTCTCCTTCTCTCCATCTTTTCCCTTTCTCTCTCTCCTCTTCTCTCTTTCTTCTGTCGATTTGAGAGAAAAAATTGATTTATCGATTTCAGATCTATTCCCCTTCTCTACAAACAGGAAAGAAATTTTATTTTTTAAAAATTCAAAAAATAAAAAAAATCCATTTCGATCCAAGTGTCTTTTTGAGCTACCAAGTATTTTTTTTAATTAAATAATATCACTCATTTATTTTTTTATACATTTTTTTTAATAACAAACTAATAAATTAAAAAAAAAAAATATTACTTCCCAAAATATTTTATCCAAAAAATTCATATCGCAAACAGGGCCTTGGTCGAAAAACATGACTCTCACAAAATCAAACACCCGTCATGTACTTTCTAAAATAGAAGTGCCTCACACTTCACTATCTACTTTCTATGTCGCTATACACAGAGAGAGTCATGGTTCTTCGATTCCAATCCCAATCCATTGTCGTCGATGAGATTGAAACCATTTTCGGCACAGAGAGCACTGCCATTTCACCGGAGGCCATCTCCGGCCACCATACGCCGTCGTTCCCTCTCCGGTAAATCCCTCTTCGTCATGCTGCCGGACTTCTCCTCTGCCGCCTTCCTCCGCCGCTCTCTCATCGTCCTTAGTTTCTTCGCCGCCGCCTCTCTCTCGTGTTTCGTCCTCTACAAAGCCGCCGACTCCGCCGGATTACGACTCCCTGAATCGTTCGATCCATCGTTTCGCCTTCGCTACGTTTCCCCCTCCGTCGCTGACGATTCTACAGCAATGAGTTCAACAACGGTATTATTCTAATGATAGCGTAGATTGTGTTTTTCTGCTCTATTTTATTTATTTATTATTATTTTTTTTTTTTAAAAAAAATTGCATTTTCAAGCAACATTTAGGATGTGAAATGCACAATTATTGAAATTTCTACTTCTTCTTTTGGTATCTCTTTAACCTAAGATATGAATTTTATGGCACCTGATGAGTTGTTTAATGTCAAGTGGGGTTATAGTTTGGTGTTTTTGGTGTCTCTTTGCTGTTGTAAATTTATCATGGTGGGAGGAGAGATGACTGTTTTTGCTGAACAATTAATTTTGTTCTGTTTCATTTAGGTAGTATTTGGTTCACTAGAATGGAATGGAGTGAAATGAAATCCAAATATCTATTGCCATGTTTGGTTGAATACAAAAATAATGAAAAATATTTTACAAATGCAATCATCATTCACCATGGTAAGAGCCCAAGGAGTAGCCATTCCATCTCATTAGTGAACCAACTAGAGCATTAGTTTGAAACTATGGTACATATTATTGGTTCATAGATTCCCTAATGCCGTGTTTGGTTGTGAAATTTGGGAAGTGAGGTCGAAAAAGAAAAGAAATAGGGGTGTGAAATTAGGTGAAATGTAGTTTTATTTTATTCACATTTCACATTCCCTTTTCTTTTTTCCCTTCTCTTTTCAAATCCCTTTTCAAATTCCTCAATCAAACACAGTATTAGTAAGCTAAAATTTTTATGTTTGAGATGATAATTGGATTTTTTTATAATTGAACGTGATGTTTGTGAGAGAAGAAATGAAATGATTATGGATTTAATGTGATATTTTGTTTTATTAGTTAAGGCCCCGTTTGGGGACTTACCTTTTTAGCCAAAAAGTCAAAAAGTTACTTTTTAGCCAAAAAGCTAACAACTCATAAAAAAAGTCAAAGATTCTCTTTTCTCTCTACTTTTTGCACATTTTTTCGTAATTAGCCAAAAAGTCATCCCAAACATATAAGTTTTTTTTACCTACTTTTTAAGCCAAATAGCCAAAAAGTTACTAAATTAGCCTGTTCCCAAACGAGGCCTTATTTTAGCCTATTTTGTCTTTTTGTGAATTTTAGCTTAAACAAGGCTAAAAATTTTCTTGCCAAACACTCCCTAAGTAAATCTTTAGATAAATTAGATTTAATAATGACAATAATATATTTTATTTAAGGGTAAATTATACTGATCTCTCTTAAGGTTTAGAAAAAATACAGTAAACTTTACAATTTTGACATAGTTATATTAAACTTCCTTTTAGTAATGTTAAATTGACTGAAACTAATCTAGATGGTGTGGAAACACAAAAATAAATACCGTAAAGTGTACATTTTCATGTAAAAGAGATGAGAATATTATTTTTTCATTTATATAATTAACAAATTATTGACGAAAAGGGGATTAAGTGCGTTTATAACAAAATGTCAATGGAGCTAATGTGATTATATCAAAATTGTGGAGCTTACTCTATTTTCTCTTAACGTCAAGAGAGGTCAGTGTAATTAACCTTATATTTTATTTTATTGTTGAATTTGTTATGCAATTATCGTGTTTGACGGTACCTATTGGCTAGGATTCAAAAACTGCAATCTGTACTTCATATTTGTAAGTTTTCAGTACTTTTCAGCTCCAAATAATGGATCACTTAATAGTTGAGAACTTGAATGTTAGAAAAGAAGAGAGAGAAGAAAAAGAACAACCTATACATCTTATTAGATAAGAGAGAACAACCTCTGCTGTCATACCTTTGTTCCTATGCATTCACACCTAAGAGAAGATGCATTGCACATTACCTGCCATATGCTTTAAAAGATATCTTCACTCACTGCCATAAAATAAAGCCAATACTTCTAGTTATATATGGAAGACTATGGTTTGGAAGCTAAGGAAACTAGGTACGAAACAATTGTGGAATCCATGAATTCTTCAACCATCTTTGCAACCCCACTTGACCAATTAAACTTCACTAAAAAAATATGCACACAAACAAAAGCAGCAGCACATTCTAGAGTCGAAAACAAAATTGCCATAATAGCTTTCATGTGAATAACATCTTTTTTTTCTTTGATCACCCGCCTTAATTCTAACTATACACCTAGTTCTTTGAACCACCACCGCCGCTACCCCCTTACTCTAGTAGTCAACCTCACCACCCTCCCCCGCCAATCCCCGCATGTCCGATAGCCTCCTTCCTAGCATTCCCTGCCACCACCTGATGTAGAACGCTTTAGAGAAAGAGTAGAGAGAAGAAAGAAAGGGGAGGAAGAAGAGGGCCACAATCCTAATACAATGGCCACAGCCTAAAACACTAAAATTTGCATTATTCAAAGCTAAATAATACAATGTAAAGCCTAATGTTTGTAAGTCAAGAAACCTAAACAAACTAGGTAACGGAAGCCTAACAGAATAGGAAAACAAATATTATTAAAATCCTAATCAAATTAAAACTCTAATTAAACTATTATTAAAAATAAAATACTAAAATAAATTAGACAATAACTATTAAAGACAACATTATAAAATATTATCGGTGCGTACACATTCCCGTCACCCCCACGCCCTCCCAGACCCTTGTATATGTGGGATCAACTTTGAGGTTTGCCAATGCCAACTGATGTTTTGTCATGATCATTTCTAAAAGCAAGCTAAGTGCAACATATTTTGTGCTTATGGTCCAGTCATTATTTTAATGTGTATGGTGTTACTGTGTGTGTGGGTGTAAGCCTATTGAAAAGCATATAATATTCATTAGGATTTTTTTCTCTTTTATTTATTGATTTCAATTTACTTTCATTTCTTTGATTTAGGCGTTAAATAATGTTTTGCGCTGTTTTTGCTTTTGTATTGAATTTTCTCAACTATCATAGGTTAGTGACAAGTACAAGCTTGAAAGAGTGCTGAAGAATGCTGCCATGAAAGATGGAACAGTCATTTTAACAACTTTAAATGAAGCTTGGGCGGCTCCAAATTCAATCATTGATCTATTTCTTGAGAGCTTTAGAATAGGATATGGCACCCGTAAACTTCTGAATTATTTGGTGATTATTGCCTTGGATGAGAAAGCATTTTCTCGTTGTTTGGTTGTACACAACCATTGCTTTTCCCTTTTCACTGAAGGGGTTAACTTCTCTCAGGAGGCATATTTTATGACCCCTGACTACTTGAAGATGATGTGGAGAAGAATTGATTTCCTACGGTCTGTACTTGAGATGGGATACAACTTCGTTTTCACGGTACTCTCTTTCTCATTCAAACACATTATCTTCTTGAGCTTGAGAAAACAAGTTGGGTTGTTTTATCTTGTTTGTTCAATTTTTTACGAGAATTCATTATTGTTAAACCTATTTTTATGTTGTATATAAATCTTCCAAGTTCACCTATGTCTATGTGATCATATGAAATATGATCAAAATTGGAAGATGCTACCTAGTGTTACCAAAAAAACGTTAACACCGAGTTATCAAAATTTGACTTTTAGAAACACATTCTGAGACATAGTACACTTTCATTTCAAAACGGTGAATTTAGCATTCCAAAGCAATTCCCTAATTTTTTCTGTTAAATTCTCCTTAATAAGGAGAAAAAAGGCAAATATAATGAACTAAAATCTAAATAGAGGGGAGTTTTTAATTGACTAAGTGTAAAATAATGGTTCATAATGCTCAGGATTGTGTTGTTAAAAGATTAATTTGAAGAAAAATATACTATAATCTATTACATGTCAAATTAAGAAGTCCACCACATTCACGGTGCCATTCCTCGTACTAGAATGATTGTATTCTAATGGCTTTGATTAGGAGCATTCAGGAAAACATATATTGTCTTCTATAATATAACCAAACCAAACCAAACCTTAAGTCTCATCAAATGGAGTTGGCTACATGAATCCTTCTATACTTTCTTTAAATGTTTTGTTTTATTGTAGTGCCTTTGTCTTGTTAAGTGTTTTATTACCCAAAAAATTGATATTAAAATGAAGCTTGACACATGTACCCACAGGCACATAACCCTAAAGGGCAGACATATCACTCATAACCTAGCCTACTGGAAAGAGCCCAGTTGGACACACTGCCACTCAATAGTTGGCAAGGAAACAAGTTAGCACAACATGACACAGCTGCCACCAAAAGACATGCACTATCCATTACATGTACACCCATCAAGCCATGAGTCCATGACACAAACAGCTGGCCCTTGGAAACCAGCTGTACTGATTAACAGAAACAGCAGAATAAATAAATGCCTTGAAAACTTAAAACTCCTAAGTGGTAAGTCATAACAACCAGTCAACGCCCACTCATCCAAGCACCACTTGCATAGGTGTGTGTGAGGCAACACACATTTTTACCTCTGCCTCGAAAGTGAGAACAGATATACACCACAGCCTCTTCTCCCTTTCTCCGTTGAGGTATGACAACAACGCATCTGAAACCCAGGAGACAAGTAAGTCCATCACTACTGAAGACAGGAGTTCACCATTTGCCAAATTGCCTGTGGACCTCATTCATTTTTGTTGAGAAGCATAACGCAGTTGGATTATGGTAATGTGGTGTGTATGGAAGCTTAATCATCTAGAGATCAGTTTTGGGAGGACTCTTGTTTATTGATGGAATGCGTAATGCACTAGTATCCAACATATGTGAGCTTTTGCCTGTCGACTTCCCTGCTTACTGTTATGTATCTTATTCTTTCCAATCTGGTCAGCCCTTAGATAAATTTTTCTTCATATGCAATGTCTTTTGGTTGGTTTTCCTCTTTCAGGATGCTGATATCATGTGGTTCAGGGACCCATTTCCACGGTTTTATTTGGATGCAGATTTTCAAATTGCATGTGATCAGTTCTTAGGCAGCTCTTATGATTTGGAGAACAGACCAAATGGAGGATTTAGCTTTGTCAGGTCCAATAACCGGTCAATAGAGTTTTACAAGTTCTGGCACTCCTCACGAGAAGCATATCCAGGATACCATGACCAGGACGTCCTTAATATTATCAAATATGATGCTTTCCTCATAGATATTGAATTGAAAATGAGATTCTTGAATACTGCTAACTTTGGTGGATTTTGTGAACCAAGCAAAGATTTGAATCAAGTTTGTACAATGCATGCAAATTGTTGTGTTGGTATGGGCAACAAGGTTCATGATCTTAAAGTCATGCTTGAGGATTGGAAACAATATATGTCTTTGCCACCAAGCTTGAAGAGATCATCAATATCATCCTGGAGGGTTCCTCAAAACTGCAGGTACATTATTTGGTGTTGTAGTCAAATCTGAGCATGTGGTCAATATATAAGAATACCTTATTTTTATTTTTTATCATTATTTTTTTACTTTGCCTTAGATTTTATGCCTAACTGTAGTCTTTTGTTTAATGGTGTAATTCTGTTCCAGTGTTGAATCCATCCATCACTCTGAATCGCCTCAAAAGAGTGTTGAACAAGCAGGGGAAGATTGAGCAGCTGTAACCAAATTGGAGGCACATATTCTGTACAAGATAAGTTTGTGGTTTGAGTGCATCTGAATGATTTTGTTACTTGTTAATTAGTGTTGGATGTTGAATGCTGATTTGATAGACCTGCAATTTCTTATATAATACCTCCCAGTCCCAGCAAGTTTATAATTTGTTGGAAATCTTAAAAGTCCTTTCAGTGTGAAGAATTTGCAGATAACCATGTTTTGCTTTATATTTATTACTTACACACCTCATAACCACCATCAAGCTCTGTCAAACCACGCGTAGATGCAATGAAATGTAATGTAACAACAGCCAGTGGACACAGAAAATAAATTGTGACGACTCTTTCTTTCACATGGATGTATTTTGGCGTAGAAGTGCCTTTTTTTTTTTTACTTGATATGATACGTTCACACATGATTTTCTCTTAGAGCACATATCTTTTTGGTTTAGAAGTCAATTTCTGAATAAAACTATTTGGTTCAGAAATTAACTTTTGAACAAAATTATTTGGTTTGACTGTATCTTTGATTCTAAAGTTGGTTTCTGAACTATATAGTTTTGCTTGGAAATCAACTTCTGAACGAAAAATTTAGAAATTGAGTGAATTGAAATAATGTGGTGTGTGAAAATAGAAGCATCTTACAAATATATGCAAAACTCAATATTACAATTAGTAGTTTTGATATAGATGGCTATTTATTCAACATTTCATAATTTTTGATATAGATATCTATTTCAATCAAATTAGTAGGGTTAGAATCTCTCATTTCAATCAAATAAGATCCAAATTAAATATAAAATTATGTAAACAAAATTACAGTAAAATTTTACTCCATTAGTTGTTCTCAAACTGTAAAATTTTACTGTATTTAATCAGCAAATAAGTTTTAAATTTTTTTTCTATGAGTTCCACCCACAATGGTAACAATACTGACTGATTTTTGTTACCAACTTATTTGAAATTTTAAATATAAAATTCAGGCCCAAAAAACCCCACATTTCACTAAGAAAATAAAATAAAATAACTTGAAAAAATCCTAAAATTAAGGAACAATTGAGGAATTCAATTCTGTTTAATTGATAAATTTATAAATAAATAAAAAAAATCTATACCAAGTAAAATTTTACTATTGAATAAAAAAATGATTCCACTAATCTTTGGTCATGTGGGGGAAAAGGAGTGTCCCATGGCTATTCGAGATGCACGCCATTTAGTGTGTTGGTTATGGTGGCAATTGAATTTTAGATTTGGGCTGCATATCATGTTCCAATTGACAAAGAAAGGCTCAATAAACGGTGTGCTAGAGCTAAGAGTTCGCGGGAAGTAGGCAAACTACAAGTTGAAGGATACATTTACGTTGTATTTGGGTCTATTTCTTTTTCCTTTTTCTTTTTTTTTTTTAACTTTTCACAAATCTCGTATATTCTATTTTTCCACTACACAAACTCGAGCTTAATAAACTAGATTAATAAAAGACAAACATTGAATATATGAGCCCTAACGATAATTGTTATGAATTTTCCCTGCCAGGATGAAACTAACCAGAGGAAAATGTAGTCAACTCTCATTTTTGCAAGTCTCACGACTCCATGACCAATCAAAAGGTTTATACAGACTAACATTTCTTACTAACTATTTAATATGGGATCCACTAGAATAGTATTATAGGGATAACGCAAATAAGAATTAGTTTATGAGATTGTTAGTTTGTTGTATATAGCATTACTCATTTTATTATTCGTGCAAACAACTTTTCCTGAATGATAATCTTTGACCACTTTGGCCACTCTAATGAACAGACAGCCGTAAATGTTCGATGTTCTTGCATTTCTCAGTTACACAAGTACAACAATGCATTATGAAAAAAAGGCAACGGTTTTCCAATGTAGGTGGGTTCCAAATATATATATATATATATACATACATGTTTGAGGAGACTTACATAAATAAGAAGCTGCTCCACTCTGTATAAAATCAAGTGTTGACATACAATTTCTTTTCACTGAACTGGGAATATTGTTAATAACTTCACTTACCTAGGAATTTGGAGCAATATTAGATAAATGGGAAGAGTGCAAGTGAGACATGTGCCCCGGTGCAAGTGAAAACTGTACAAAATGGGGGTACTTCTCACTTGTAATTACTTTTCACATTTCCCATTTGTCCGATACTTTTCAAAGAAATTTTCAGGCATAAGATGTACGAACTTGCACAACATTACAAGCTACAAACGGTTTATTCAGCTCCACCATCATCTGAGTCTAGCTGCTTACGGCTTACAAGAACACCTTCATCCCAAATCTCAAGACACCTGTAGTGTGAGCAAATTGATCCATAACAGGAAGTAGATGTTAGTTAGACATAAATGGTACAAGAATTGGAAACGCTGAGTAGAAAAAATATATTAAAATCTAAAAATTTAAAAGTGGAAGCTTTAACAAAAACAAAATAGAAAAAAAGAAACTACAGCGAAGTAGAAGCATTCAAGCCATATGGCCTTGTGGTTATTATAAGCTTAATTGATGTTGAATAATATCATAACCATTTCTATATATATGCAATGCCGAAACAAGTAGGAGTCAGCAATAAGCAGCTAGTTAACTCAGTCCAACAATTAGTTTACACCTGTTGAATCCTGCAGTACAGACAAACAAAGGCATCCTCAAAATGTACTTACTTCTAATGTCAGTTCTATAAAAATATTAAAACAAAATTGAAAAAAGGGGCACAAAGGGAAGGGAAATTATAGATATGACTCCTATTTTAACTTCAGATATTAGTAGATCATTACCATCAACAAGAAGAAAAAGCTAAAAGAATATGGTCGACTGCCTTTGGATACTACAAGAAGCAGAAACACCATACAAAAAATTATGCACACACAAGTTGGCATGAATTCATACACTTAATACTTGAAAAATCAGTTTGAGCATAATAACAACAACAATTCACCCCCTGAAAATTGATAAAAAAAAATTTAGATAATTAAGCGGTCGTTTGATGACATTGTCAGTTTCCAATTTTCAATTTTCATAATACAACACACAAAAGTTCTGAAAACGAATGTGTCCAAATTTTTAAAAATTGTCACTTGGAAAAGAACATTTTACATTTCTAGAGCTTTTTTAGACCAAAAACCAAATAAAAATGCACGGATATAAATAAAGACCACAGTCCTTGCGAAGTCAAGAGAAGGGGTAATCAACAATTTGTATCCATAATTCCGACAGAGTGTAGAAATTTGGGGCACTATGGGGATTGTGACTCTGTGCAAGCTTGTCAAATGAACAATAATTTATCAAATTTGAAGGAATTGAGAACACCAAACTTAAATTCTAAATAAGGAACAGCCCCTAATGCAATAGCATTACCAGGCCAACAAAACAGCTATGTCCATGTCTCTGCCAATATTTTGACTATGATTTGTATGGTACAAACCTTGTGTATACCAAGGAAATTACAAACCAGGAAAACAATTAAAAGGGAAAAAGTGAAAACTAAAAAATACAAACCTTGCTCCGTCAACATTGATACAGAGAAAATGGCCATGTCGCCATCCATCTTTAAAATGACCGAAAAAGATTTCACCCCGCTTTGAGTAGAAACGCCCTTCACCATTGGCCTTTCCCTTCCAAAAATTTACAAACCATCTATCCCCAGTGTGGAAGTACAACCAACCCTACAGGGTTACACAGATCTATCTCAGGGAGACCAAGAGTAATTCTTCAGAATAAAATTCTTAGCAGCGACATCAAGTATTTTCTTCTCCTGCAGCTAAGTTTTAAAATAAACTACCCAAAAAAAAACCATTGTTGAGAATTTATATACATAGTAGATGCAGGAAATGATCCTGTCATCACGGAAATTCACACGTATAATGGCCATTTCAGTGTTATGCAACGGCTGCAGCGATATCGTAACGGCCGTAACGGTCCATTATACACCGTTACACCCTTTTACAATATTCTGAATAGCTCCCCCCCCACAAAATAAAAAAAAGAACAGAAGTTTACATAAAAATAACAAGTACTCAAGTAATCTAAACCCAAAGAAAAAGTCTTACATGAAATTTTTTTCTTTATAACTATTTAAAAATTTATGGCACAATTTTTATTTGATAATCCTTTCATTTAATAATTGTTAATATTTTTTATTCAGTTAGTTAGGTATTGGTAAAAAATAATTTGTAGACATTTAAAATCAATTATTCTTAAAATCATTAACTATTGAAATAAAATGTAAAAAGCTCATTTTCTAGTGACTTGAAAATATGAAATATATTATATCATACTTAAAAATTAACAAAAATTGATAAAAAATTTATTTTAAACCCCAATAAATGTGATTCTAAATTTCTTTTTAAAAAAATTATGCATGTCGGTAAGTTTTCTTCAAATTGTACAAAAAATAAAAAAAATTACGGTTCTAGTTACCGCAACCGTTACGCTACGGCGCAACTGCTACCGCGTCACCGCAACCGTTATGGTGACCACAACTGCTTTTCAAAACCTTGGTTGTAGTAGTTGTTGTGATGGTAATGACAATGGTGACTATGGTGGTGGTGGTGATAGAGAAATGATGATGGTGATTATGGCACGATGACAATAGTGATAGAGGTGGTGATGGAGGGGTTGTGGCAATGGAGGTAGTTGTAGTGGTAGCGTGACGGTAACAGTGGCGATGGTGGTGGTAATGTAGTGGTGGTGATGTTATAAAGGTGTATGTCAACGCTTATGCATAAATATTTATAAATTCAATTGGTATTAAGTAAGTTTCCCCTCACTTAAAATTTTCTAAACTTTTAACCTACTTTTAAAGTGCCACTTAAATTTTTAAGTGATACTAATTGTGATTATCAAACAACATTTCAACTTAAAAAATTCAGCATTCAATTTTCAGTTTTATCAAACACCACTTTAGAGTAATGAATTATCAATCTTCTCTTCCTAAACTTACATGATATCAGAGCACATTGAACATATAGTGTCTTTTCTTTCAAGCTGTTATGTAGCATTGCTTAATTTGTCTTTCCCATAACATTATAGCTACATGTATCACACTTGAGACAGTTTGGGGAGGAAACTGGTTCGTATGCAGCAGAGAATAAGATTAGGCCGTTCTTCTGATATTACTTTAAGGACAATGTCTCAAGTCAGTATATATGACCAGGGCTTCAAGAGATCTGTATTACCTTTCCATGCATGACGTCATCCCTCCATGATCCCTGGAACACATCCCCATTTCTGAAGTATAATGTACCTAGACCTGATCTCTTACCATAGCGCCACATGCCATCATAAATGCTCCCATCCCCAAGAGACAGCCGGCCCTGTAAAGTCTGGCTTTCAATTTTTCCACACAAAAATAACTAGACAAACCCAGAAAAAGGTGATTTGCCTAATGTTCCGGGGAAACACAGTACCTTCCCTTCAGGCAGACCACCCTGGCACCGCCCTTTATATGTTCCTCCTCTGTATTTCATCTCCACTATAGGGTTCCATTTCTTTTGTGTATCTCGTTCAGCTTCCTGCATGAAGGAAGAGAACACAATCAGAACTTCTAAAGGTAAATAATCCAAACTCTACTAATTAATAATAACAGCAGCACAAACAACAACAACAATCAAAGTAAAATTGCACGACCAAATGATCATTACAATATATGCCCAAAAGAAATGCCCTTCAACTCCTTGTTCATGGTCATCCAAATAATATGTTGTGGGGTCTAATTGATGCAACTAAGTTGATATCGGACTTGCAAGAAGATTATATTTATTGATATCCCAAATTCATTAAATTTTATTAGGACTTTTAAAGGCGCAAGTATAAAATTTTAGTGTGTATTAGATTATTTTACTAGTGCCAAAGGGAAAAACACAAGCACAAGTTGTGGATTATTCTATTATTGTAATATAAACATATTAAACTTGATATTGTAATGAAATATTTGCAAGACCTATTGAAAATTTAAAAAGTAAACAAGCCACTAGCTTAAATTAAAACATAATTCTTAAAGGTTAGTGTTTTGCTTTATAAAATTATGTGGTTTCTCAACATTCTTGAGCTGCTTGTGTAACTCACTACTAACAATTTTTAAAAAAAATATTTTTTTACATTCTTAAAAGTTAGTGTTTTGCATTATAAAATTATGTGGTTTCTCAATATTCTTGAGCTGCTTGTGTAACTCACTACTAACAATTTTTTAAAAAAATATTTTTTTACAAACATATCCTAGCCGTACCCGTATCTGTTTTTTTAGATTTTGTCGTATCACTACATCCGTATCTTGTATCCAAATCTGTGCTTCCCACAACAAGGATTTTCAAAAAAAATAAACTCTCCCAATATTAATTCATTCAAAGGTAATTGTTTCTTTAAATAATCTCATATATATATATATATATATATATTAATAGTTTTCCAGAACCAATAAGGTAATTAAAAAAAAAAAAAGAAGAAGAAGAAGAAGAAGAAAAGAAACAGGAAATCAATAAAAATGGAAATTATCCTATTAACTAAATCTCCAAAATTCTATTTTCCTGACTGATGTTTCCTGCACCTCACATGTGTCTCGATTCTTCCCTTTCCTTGATCCCCATCTCCTCAGCTGAAAAGGACACTCCTCAGGAGAGTAATGACTAAGATAATGCTCCAACAACCCAAATTTTGAAGGAACCAAAAATAGAATGGATAGGATTTTTTAAAATAATGCCAAATTACGTTAAAATTAATTTTCTCAATTGATATCTAATACAAGTTATCCCTAATTTAACAACATAATCTTACACATTCTAGGAGCCTTACTAATAGTTGACACTATCTAACATCCCTCATCTAAGAAATCCATTCTATGAGGGTGATTATAGTATTTCTACTTCAACTACACCACAAATTTAAATTATAAAAAATTACTCTACAATTTTATTTCTATACCTAGTACATTCATTGATCAAGCATACTGACAATTTCATTCAACTAAACAGTTTGCACGCAAGGCCCCTAGAAGCTTATTTGATACCAAGCAATGAGCACAGTGCAACAATCAAAACAGAGAGCCTTTGGAAATTTGTAAGCCTTGTAACTGGAACACTGTACATCAATTAAACCTTGAGAAGAAACATTATTTACCAACATAGATGCTGCACGAACAGAAAGAACTCCTTGCTTCTTAGAAACATCAGTGTCATTACCCTTTAACAAGGCAGAAGCATTATCATAAAATTCTGAAACTACTTCAAAACCTGCATCAGTTAATGCATCCCATGACATCCTTGGAGTAATCTGAGTTAGGGCCTTCATATCATCCCCAGTAACTTTCTCCAAATGAACAGTATTTGAGATACTGAGAATGTTTTCCAACTCTTCTGATGGCTTTACACCAACTGGAAGTCTGTAGATGCTTAGATTGTCAAGCGTTGGAGTGGCTCCAGAATCATTGGCTGGCCCCAAATTCTGTCGAATGAGCGGCTCCCTTTGAAAAGCAGGTGCTCCTGGATAATGCGTTTTGATAATGAGTATTCAAATGCATCAATCAGTTAAAGGCCTGGATGTGATTCTCATAAATTAAATGAAATAAATGAGAAAAACACAAATGAGTGACTTGTTATAGTACAATTAACTGATCAAATCCCAAAATGTAAAGAAAGTCATCCCATTTCACTTTTACCTTCAGTATTTGGGTCATAGAAATTTGATGAATCAATAACAGTCTCTGAAACTTCAACCTCGTCTTGCTCAGAACTACAACTATAACCCCCACAATAAAAATTAATTATGAATTCTGTAAAATATGCATGGCATTTAGTACAATGAAAAAGTCTTGAGATGAACTGAAGCAAATGGAGAGAAATAATAGAACCTCAAATAATCTATTTCGTCGCTATTGTTGCTGAATAGTGTCTGGAGTTCAGCAGAATAAAAGCCAAAACCTTCAGCCATTCCATCTGCAGGAATGACATTTGGCACTTCACACCAGTCTTGTGAATTTGTCACCTCAGAAACAGATAGATTTTCAGGTAAATAGCTTTCTTGAGTGTCATCATATTGTGAAGGTTGCCTCCTTAAAAGATTGAAAATGAAAGGAAAATGCTGGGCCAGTCTTGTGAATATGCTACTTTCTTGAGAAGCCTGATATCTGATGTGACTGATATATGCAAGAAATTTATGAATCAAAATCAAGAAAAGGAAAAGCATAAATTAATCAAAATTCACAATCGACCTGTGCTTAAATACTAAGCACACAACAGTTATGATCTATGAGCAACAGAACAAGAAATTGTGGTAAGGAGCACTAAGCCCAAGAACCATACTACCTGTGGAATACAAGGCAGTTAAAAATATATATATATATCTATATCTATATATATTTATATATATCAATGCTATCATGAACTAAGTAGAGGGTCCAGACATTCTTTTAATAACGTTCATGTAGGGGTTATGCACGGGTCATGTAGGACTAGTGACTATTTTATTATCTAGCTCATGCATTCATTGTATTATTTTTACCTAACCAGTTGGGTTCTGAGGTGGATATTTCAAAGTGGGCTAGGTTTTTTCCTCTCTTATTGAGGGGATGTGTGCCTTTGGGCTCTGTATGTACCTATGGGTACGTGCAATTAGCTTCTTTGTACTATTTTCTTTATGGTAATAAAATGCTAGTAAGAAAAAATGTGCATGTACGAGAACTGTAGTGATAATTTATTTTTATACGGTTCAATCATTTTGGTATTATGGTAGAGCTTAATGTTATTAGTAGAGTAGGATTGAGTACAATGTCTCACTGGTGTTCAAATGCTAGTGATTGATGTTAGACGGTTTGACCTTAATAGCAAATCCTGAGTTCTTTGGAATTGTGTGATTTTTACGATTCTTTGGATAATTAGGTTGGAAAAGAATTCAAAGAAATCTGAAGATCATGAAATTTGGAGGGAGGAAGTTCGTTTTACACCTCATTTTGGGTATCATTTTCTCGTGCTTTTTTATTACTAGTGATTGGAGAGTGGTTATGGTTTCTAAATTTTGTACATCTGTTTTTTTTTTTCCTTTACTATTTGGGAGACTTCTTGTCTTGCTTTGTATTCTTTTGTGCTTTTTCCTCATCTATGGAAGCTTCTATTTGCGCACCACTATTTTTGCTTTCGGTACTTGATATTCGAACCATTGATTTTTGTTTGGTAGTTGATAATCAAACAAACAGAGTGAACTGAGGAAAACATGAGTGTAAATAGAGCTACCCTCATCTATATATTAGTATTCTTTCTTTGTTGCTGACCAATAACAAAAAACATATAAGCCATGTCATCTGAAAAGGAGATTCTCAACAAAGTAATGGAAACCAAGAGCAACAATAGTACTGATAACTAGTTGAAAAAAGGAAGAACAAGTACCCAACATTGATATTTGCAATTTTACTATTATGTTTCTTGTAGGTTTTCCATTATTCAAAGATAAAATTGTCTACTAGAATCTTCAATAGTCATAGATGTGGGAGACGTTTTCGAAAGCTATTGTCCCTCATAAAGTGAAGCTTTCATGTGGTCCTTGGCTCAAAAGTTACAACAACTAATGATGTTTTCCAAAGGAGAAAGCCTAATCACTCTCTTTGCCCTCAATGGTGTGTAATGTGCAAGAGGAACTCGGAGGTAGCAGATCATCTATTCTTTCATTGCCCGGTGGCTTGTGCATTATGGCAGCGTCTTTTTGGCTTATGTGATGAGCGGGGAGTTACTCTGCGGGACTGTATTCAAATGCTTCTTATTAGGTTTAAAGGCTTTGGAAGAACCAAGAGAGCCAAAACAATATGGACAAGCATTGTTTTTGCTATTTTCTAGGCTATATGATTGGAGAGAAATTCTAGAATCTTTGATGGCAAGGAAGCAAGTGTAGAGGCTTTGTAGGATAGGGCGGAATATTTGGCTTCATTTTGGGCATTTGTATCCCCTCCTTTTAAAGGAGTCCCTTTGAACTTGATCTCTAGGGATTGCGCTGTTGTTTGCCATCCCTAGGGCTAGGAGTTTTGTGCTTTTGTTTTGCTCTTTCTCTTTCTTTGTATGAGGACTTCTTGTCCTCTTTCACTTTTCTTCATTAATGAAATTTTTGTTGATGCTCAAAAAAAATATATATAGTCATAGATGTGGGAGAAGATGTAAAATTTATTTTAGTCACAAAACAAATCTCATATATTATTGTTAGATGTTACGTCAGTAGTCTAAGGGGTAACCACTTCAATATATAAATACATAAGTTTTATGTGAAAACCCTAAGTTTTGGGTTTTCTCTCAATAACCATATATATTTGTTTCTTCTTCTCTCTCTGCCGTATAGCATGGTTATCAAAATTCCGATCCGGATCTTACGATCCTACGATCTTACGATCCATTTGAGTACAATCGATCCGGATCATGTAAAAAACTCTTTGTAGGTAGGATCTTTCGATCCTAGTAGTGGGATCTTATAGGATCATGGAATCCCGATCCGAATCCGATCCTATCCGATCCAATTTATAAGCCTTGTTTTGTGTTGTATGACATATTTTGTTGTAAATTTTATATTTGTTGTCTAAATACCAATTTATGTCATCAAAATAAATATTAAAAATTAAGTAGTATTGAATCAAATAGACTAAGAAAAACAAACTAGGAAACAAACATTCAAATATTGCGGTAATTTAAGAAAATTAAATAGTCGGAAAAACAAACTTAGCTTTAGCGGAGTCTAAGAAGGGTAAGATGATTGCAACTTTATCCCAATTTCTGGAGAAATTATTTTTGACTCGAATCCGCTCCACTAGGGATACTAACGACAAACCTTATCATTCGACTAAGCTACTCTTTTGAGTTCTTAATCTATTTTCATTTCTAATATTGTTAAATATTTTTTCTTCACTTTTTATGCATTATTGTACATTGTAAAGTATTTTGTTATAGAATTCTTCTTCTTCTTCACCTTCTTTTTTGATAAAATACAGAACTTTTACCGTCGGGTTTTCTATTGCATAATATTATATGTACATTTTACATGGAGTATTATATTTTTCACAATATCTTCACTTCTTTTTAATAGAATATAAGTTCATTTTGTGTATACTTTATAAGAAATATTTATTTAAATTAAATTATTATGTAATTTGTCTTTTTCTGTAGGATCTTACGATCCTTGATCCGATTCTACGATCCGATCCTATAAACACCTCCAACGATCTAACGTAGGATCCCGATTTTAACAACCTTGCCTTATAGTGTATCAATTCAAAACAAATGCAGGAGAACAAATTGGAATAGAAAACTTACTGTAAAAAATAAATTGATCTATATTATTGATTGATTGTTTGTTACAAGATTTATATAGATTACAATTACAAGGATTCCTATATATAGAAGAAAATGTGGTAGTAGGTGTAGGAGTGAAGTGGAGGTGGTAGGTGGAGTGTGTGATAGTGGAGGTGGTAGGTGTGGAGTGTGTGATAGTGGAGGTGGTAGGTGGAGTGTGTGATAGTGGAGGTGGTAGGTGTGGAGTGTGTGATAGTGGAGGTGGTAGGTGGAGTGTGTGATAGTGGAGGTGGTAGGTGTGGAGTGTGTGATAGTGGAGGTGGTAGGTGGAGTGTGTGATAGTGGAGGTGGTAGGTGTGGAGTGTGTGATAGTGGAGGTGGTAGGTGGAGATAAATTCTAACAGCCCCCCGCAAACTCAAGGAGGAGAGAAACTAACCAACTTGAGTTTGGAGAGAGGAACAAAACAAGAAAATACATAAAAAATAAAAGAGGAGATACTGTATGGTCGTGTCAGACCGTTGGTGAAGACACTGTATGGTGGTGTCATAACGTTGTAGAGGACACTGTATGGTGGTGTCATAACGATGTAGAAGACAGTTTATGGGGTCATGTCGGACCGTTGTAGAAAAACA